ATTTAACAACAAACAATCATCATGAAAAAACAGTGGGCCTCGTGGGCCTGACTGATGAACAAAGTTGTGACCTGTATCTTCACCAAGGTCTTATTTTCATGGATTTGACAAACGATCATGTCCTGAAACTACCACGTTTCCCCAGATGAGAAACATCCATCACCTGCCTCACCTAAGGCTTTCCTCCCACATTAACTTTACATTGAAACACAATGTTACATACTGTGTTGAGCCCCACACCCGCCTCCAGAGATGCAGTTAGGGTCAGTGCTGACAACAACGCTGTGTAATGTTCTGGGCGTTAAGATTGAAAGAAGGAATTAGAGGTTAACCAAATGATGAGAGTGTTACTGATGTGTTCATACTGTTAGGGGATTACAGAATCATTTCATCTTGTTCAATATCCTGACAAACAATGTAAATATTGGTAACATGGCAGAAATAGATAGCTGTTACTGTATCAACAATGAATCACTATTTTATTGGTGTTTGAAATACAGACACACATGGACTGTTTAGATCTGAGGTGAGGTGAAATTGGATTTATCATCGTGCTTGAGAATATTTCGCTCATATGACCACGTGCATGCGTGTGTATGTGTATGTGCGACTGCTTGTACTAGCCCAGACTGAAGCTGGTTTTATAGTGCTATCTCACTGAGATACCATGTCGCAGTGAAGCATGAATACCCCACTCAGACACATTATACTGACTCCGAGCCGACAAGTCCTTGTTGTACCCATTAATGCCGAGTGCCAGGCAGGGACCAACAAGTACCATATTTTAACGTGTTTTGGTATGACGCGGTCAGGGATCGAACCCGCGACCTTCCACTCTCTGGGCGGACGCTCTAACCACTACACCACGGAGGCGGTTGTTTAGATCTGAACATAAACATTGCCTGTGTTGTTGTGTTGGGCAATAGATGTACAGCAGCACAGCCGCTGATGTGATATGCATAAATATGAAATATACTTGTATATTGCATGACGCAGCAGTGCAGCAGGTGGATATAACCAATTGTTTTAAACTGGCTACAATGTGTTGCACATTTCAAGCATCCAGTGACCAATGAGTTTGTGATATAGTTCTTTATAACTAGATATTTGGTTATTTTTAGAGAAATGTTGGTCTTTATGTGTTTCTCATAGCAAGCATCTGACAGGGTGTGATATGATTCTGGACCCCGTTCCTCAAAGCAATCGTAACACTCACGACGATGAGTCGAAGTCTATGTTAAAGTATGGGAGTTACGATCATCTTAGTGCTACGAAGCTTAGTGGAACAGGGCCCTGTACTAACTAGATATTAGATTATTAAAACTTTGGTAAATATGTGATGTACATAGCTAGCATTCAGTGACTCATCTAAGCAGGGTGTGATGTTGTTCTGTACTCACTAGCTGTTATATAATGGCAATATTGGTTACAGTGCAATACCTCACTAAGGAACCTATTGTGCCAATACCTCACTAGGAGCCTATCGTTGGTAGAAGAAGTTGTGGGATATGTAAGGAAGCTAAGCACTTGATTGTTACCCATTAACTACAAATAAACCAGGCACTGAGTGAAGGTGGCTGCTATCCATGCTGATTATAAACTGGCGTGGGATGTGAAATATGAGGCAGTTGTTTGTAGATGTTACTTTTGATCATTGGCACTGAATCAGAATGTGTTTATTTTAGGAGTGGAAGATGAAGTAGCCTTTTTTTTGTCGAATTTATAGCAGCCTATTTGAGGAATATCCTTGAAAGTGATTGCTACCTTCATAGATAAAACTGTATTGAAAGCAGAGATGATATTTCTGCAGTGACATTTTGTATCAGAATTAAGTTGTTGGGACTGCCTTTAGCCACCTGACCCTGACCTTTCTGCACTGGCATGGAAGTATAATTTATTGTCATGTCGGCTGAATTTGATGTAGTGGTGTGTTTAATATTCATCTTGTTCATTAATCATTAATATATTAACATTGCGAGGCATTCTCAATCAATGCCTCCCACAGGAAATTTCCTCATTATGTTTGAAAGTGAAATTACCAAAAATGTTGGTGGAATATTTAAGATTCCAGATTTAGACTACACAATTCTCATTCATTTGCTTTATGGATTGAATCCATTTTCAATTACTTAGTATGTGGAAATATGGGGGTGGGGGTTGGTGGTTGGAAAGAGAGAAAGTAAATATTGAATTCACTGTTTCATATATCCTATCGGTGTACTGATAAGTATTGCTTCTAAAACCTGTTTCCAAAACAAGGCCCACTTTGATGTTTTATATTGTGGAATAAACAAACAAGATTTTCATGTAGAAACCTTAAGAAGCTATATTCATACCAGCCTACTTGTGTTGGAGAAAGCAAAAACATATGAAAGTAATGTTGTTGGTTTTTTGCTCTCTTTTTTCACCTACCAACAGCTGTTTCCTTGTAAAAATTCTGTAAAGTATGTTGAAAAGGTGTGGCCTTGCATTTTTCTGTTTTAAATCAATGGGATGGTGATTTTATTCATGTTGATGTAAATTTAACCAGACATTACCCCATCTGGATTCACCACCCAGCCAGATATGTCCCAGTCTACAGTTGTTGATGATGATGACGACCCAGTGTGCTGTAACATGGGGATAATATCTGATATCCGCAGCCATCTGAGCTCAAATATGTCAGGGTCATTGTCTGTGATGCTGCAGCTGTATCTGTATCCATGCTGTAATGATTTGCTCCCCTGGAATCACAGTAATCATCTCGGTTTCGACGGCTTACTGTACAAATAGTGTATCACATATTGATTGAGTCTTACAGGATGATGTACAATTCACATGTTGTTAAAACTGATTTCATAACAGCATGAACTTTCGGTTCGTCCAAAACAACGTTCAACTCATTTAGGGATGCCAGACTTTTGAGGAAATCAATTTGTGAGACGGCTTGTTAACTGATTTGAGTCAAGATTTTTAGGGATGATGACTAAATTTGAAATACAGCATTATAGGTTTTCTTTGGATTGAACAAGCGTTGAGAAAGTAAAATTCTTCAAGAAGACACAAATGACAAAGAGCATTTATAAGCTAGACAGGAAGGTTGTGCATAAAAAGACATTTTCTGTGAGATAGTTTCTGTTTCAAAATATTTTCAGTCTTGTTTTGTTGATTTAAAATGAATTTCAAACCCTCATTTCATGACATCATATCTGTATTGGTACAGGTGCCACTGTAGACTTCTTGATTTGCTTTAGAGCTGTTTGAACTTACCACTGCATAGATCAATGCTCTTGATGTCAATCACTGGAGTGTCTGGTCCAGACTTTTAACAGAACACCATGCTAAACCTGGAATGTTGCTGACTGTTGTCTTAAACAACAAACAAAACAGAAGACATAGCGTCAACATGGATGATAATTACTTTATGGCTGTCCAAGCCAAAAAAACAAAAATTTGGTTTTCTTTTGTTTTACGGCAATTTAAAAGTAGATTTGGTTGATAGGCTCTCAATTTTTTATATCATTTCCTCTTATTTACATGTTATTCCCAGTGATACCTACAAATAACAGAAAAAAAGATTTAAGGACAGGGTCAGATTAGGTTCAGTCAGTCAACAGAAGTATGCACCTCACTACTATCACACTGTCCTTTATGATTTGTTTTAAAACCAGTTGAACTGCGACACATTTCTGGTTTGTTGCAGCCCATAAGTGCTTGCATGTGTTGCCATATTGACATCATAATACATCGCTAATATTGTTAATTCATCGTAACTGACTCTGATCGCACATTGAAATATCAGGTTTTCATGAGACGTCAGCCCAATGAATTAGAGCTGTGTATCGTGGTCTAAGTGGCGAGACGATATATCCCGATACCAGTTTACTTAGGCGAGCCGATATATCATGAAAGTATTGGCAAGGAACCTGCGAGACGATTATCATCACGATACAATGGTGGCGATACGATACGTATCCCGATACTTTACAATTTCTAATAGCAGAACATATATGATAGATAAAATGACTTTATCTTTAAAATCTTTATTTGTTATACAGCAGATCTTGTGTTACATTCACACACACTTAAAAAGCTGTTCATTTAATATAGTTTCAGCATTTAATGCTTTTAAAGTACAGTCAAACATATTCAGTATACTTTGATCTAACATATATAAGTTTGAAACAAGTTTCCTTTGGGAAAGTGTGTTTCTGCACCGATGCTTTCACAAACAATTGAATGTAATTTATATCAGAATTCAGAATCACTGAAAAAAACTCTTAAGTATGCTTTCTAAATTTTATCTTCTCTTTGTTCTCTTTCTTAACAAAGCTAAGACGTCGTTCGTGTATGTTAATAAATGGTGTTATTTGTCAAACAACTAAAACATATTTCAATTACTAAAGACAAGTATTCTACAGTTCACAGAGTTTGAAACATGTTCACACTCTTTCACTTATACACCAACTCCTTTGTCCATGTAACAAAGATAACAGACACAAACAAATTCCTAAAAGGTTCAATTTGTTTTTAAAATTCAGAAGAATTTCAAAGAGACTCCCTTCCTATTCCTAATGCAATACTCCTTACAACTTTAACTAGTACTGAAGTTGTATCGGGATATATCGTCTCTTGTGGCGATACATCGATGTATCGTGGACCCTTGCGATATAACTACAATGAATCCTGTAAAACTACCAGTCTACAAGTAGCATGTCAATGCTTGTGGATCAACACCAGTGGTGTAGGTTTACATGTGCTTTATGCTAGTGATTGGCAGAGCTTTACATGCACCATGTTCCAGTGATTTTTTTCTCTTCTTTTTCTTTGTTGAGCTTCATTTGCTTGATATTCCAGTGATAAACTTTTTGTTGAGGGTCCCACACCTTGTTCATTCATATTTTAGCCTCAGACCCAAGACAATTCTGGGACTTAAGAACAATTCATGGATTGCCTTCAGATATGTAATGTTTCCCTGTGGGATTGTTATGTGTGGTTACAATGATCACATTATTTTACAGGTGTGAACCCCATGGTGCTCTGTTTTCGTGTGAAGTTTTACCCAGAAGATCCCATGAAACTTCATGAAGAGATTACACGGTAAGTTGCAGTCAGACATAAAGTTGGGCAGACATCATCCCTACTTTGGTCTTAGTACATATTATATGTGTGGAGAAATTGTATATAGATGAAATTGAGTTTTGATTCAGTCACTCATTCACTAACTGATTTTCCACCTGGGAACTTTTTAAATCTGCCATTTGAAATTCAGTTTGAGTGTTGTAGGTGAGTGAGCTTGATAATTTTGTGAAAATACACAATGCCATTTAGAAAGTGGTCAAATCTAACACATGTTATGTTTGGGATTACATTTTTCAGTAAAGTACAGATTCTAGTACTTTTGTTGGATTCAGTCCCATCCGGGATTCGAACCCACACCCTCAGAGTCGGGCACCTAATCGCCAGCACACAAAGTCAGCCATCTAATTCGCTCAGCCACCGCAGCTTGCACAAAAATGGAAGTCGGACAACTGGTAGTCTAGATCATCGACTTTGTGTATCCCTCTGATTTGTGTAGATAATTTTGCCTTGATCATTGAGATCATTGTTGTTACAGTTGGTTTGTCTGTTGTTTGTATTAATACAAGCCCTTGAGATTTTGCTTTATCAAGCTGATGACCATGTTCACTTCCGTTGGGTTATCATCACTGAATTACGTCTCATGATTACACACTCTTCCGTAGCTTTATCTAGGATTAGTGGAGCATTGAGGACAGTGACAGCATTCACACTACAAAGCAAAGTCAGTTTGTTAACGTGTCAAGGCATAATTGAGTGTGGGAGAAATCGCTGGATGACATTTCAAGCAATATGTGCAATTTAGTCATGCATTTCCGATTATCCTTTGAAGTTTTTGTTAAATGCCATTTGGATGCTAGTAGATCCTTTGCAATGTGTACAAGAAATAGGAATAGTGTGAAAATTGTCATTTGAACTTTTTAAGATTAATTTTTAAATATTAGATGTGCATATACGTAAGTGACATGTTTTTTTACACAAAATTAATGTGGTGGACAAAGATGACTAGATTTTTAAGAAGTCAGTATACAAGAGTCATTGTCAAGACAGTTATTATACTGGTTATGTTGTTTTTGGCCAAATGTTCAGATGAATTTATGGAAAATATGTCACCATGGTAACAGGACTTACACCAGTGAGTGGGTGAATGTCACGATAATCACAGCTATATCCAGTTACTGATCAGTATTGAACCTTGCTGCCCCGTGTTCTCTCACAAAGGTTATGGGTTTGAAGCCTAACTGAACCAGATTATGCGTTCAGGGTGCCCTTGTACAAAGTGATCTTAGGGCTAAGGTGATCGTTACTCCCATACCATAACATAGCACTAATGTTGTGTTGTACATCGGCGCCCTGGTTTGTTTTGACCATACCATACCATACCATACCATACCACCATACCATACCATACCATACCATACCATACCATACCATACCATACCATACCATACCATACCATACCATACCATACCATACCATACCATACCATACCATACCATACCATACCATTACCATTACCATTACCATTACTTCTGGGTTTCACTGGTGACCTCCATCATGTTCTGCACCTCTCAACTTCCTCCCACATCCTGGACATGGCTGAAGTACTGTTTATGGTACCACCGTACTTATTCACTTCAGCCATCTTGCACAGATAGAGGTGATCAGCTCATGCTGGCGGTACTGAAAGGGGAAGACATAAAATGGGCATAAAGAATAGAATACCAGCCCATAAACAGGCCAGCGACAAAAATACACCTCAGGTTGATAAGCAAACAACTCCCAGGGCTTTTAACACCTCCCAATGAGTAGAACTCAAGTGTTAGGTTATCACTTAATTTGACCAAAGTGGTCTGAGGCCTGCAATTACTTTGAAACTTCCTCCCTCATTGACATGACACAATATGATATTACTGGTACTAGGGTCAGAGAGTCAGTGTTTGGTGACTTTGTTGTTAAATCCTTGTTTACATTTTGGGGATATTAATTAGAAGGTAAAAGACTAATTCATGGGAAAATGGTGGTTTAATGGTGTTTTTGTGTAAATTTCTTACACATGAGCACTGATTATTAATCTAATTAATCTACACCAGGACTTTGATGACAGTTTACTAAGTCCATAAGAAAATTGCATCCACTTAGCTCGCCTTAAGGTGTTAATACCGGGTGATCGTGAGAAAAGTTAAATGTGATACCTTTTGTCAGTGATATGAGATCCAGGAAATTCAGGGTCTCCTCCATTCTCTTCCCACAGAGGTTACTTGTCATATCTTCCTACGAACCTCTGTTCTAATACGGCCCTTTCATGGTGCGAGTGTTCAGGATTCGTGATTGGTTGCAATCAGATTTAGTTGTGCAATCAGCGACGTTGTTTCAAAAGTGATCATTCGCAAGGCCTCCGTAATTTCCGTATGTTTCGAGAAAACTAAACCTCTTTCCCTGCGCGATGCGCAAACGTTTCTTCTAGACAGAACTCAGTCATGTTATGGCGGATCAGTGGCATCTCCATCGCCCTCGTTGACAACGGACACGCTAGTCATTAAACATCTTGTGTGTAACACCAACACAAGTCCCCGGCAGAGGAGGGATATTTGTGGCCCCACATTTTCTTGTGTTAGTCAAGTTGAATCTAAGTCGATGTAACACGTGTTCTGATTGGATAAAGAAGAAGGAGATCATTCGTGTTGCGATCTTTTGCCGTTAGGGGATTTTACGGCCAGATAGAACCGGAAATATGGCCGATATCCAGCTCAGCTGCTCAAAGGCTTTGTTTTCCCTCGAGGATGTCATTCTCAGCGAAGATATGACAAGTAACTTCTGTGGGAAGAGAATGGGTCTCCTCTTAAAACTTCACATTTTGCCATATATCTTTCATCAGCACCTCCGATGCTTATTTAGTTGAATATGGTAGTATGAAGAACTTGAATCTTGAAATTCCATCATTTCAGATAAACCATTATTGTTATATAATGGTTCGAAGGCTTTGTCCCCAGAATCATGCTTTCATTGCTCTATAAAGACAGCATGCATTTGTCCCTCAATCGGACGAATAACTTCTATATCCATGCTATGAAACTATTTCTAAAGCAGATTGTAACGACATTAAAACAGAGACCCTCTCAGTGTTGCTATGGTCAAGTTAAGAGAAAACTGATAATATCTGCTTCGATTGGGATCTATATTTGGCACCACGTCTAGACTTGACCAGTGCCGAGACAGATTGGGTTTAATGTGATATTGGCAAGCTTTACAACATGCCTGTAATGGCTTGACATTTGTGAAAAGAGGCGTATGCTCCTTTCTTGCCTTAGTCTCACTACGTAGGAATAACACCCTTAGGCATTACAGTGTTAAGCACTCTTCTGCTGGATGGCTTCAGCATTCATTGTTGCAACAAGTACTGCAATACATTTGTCAGGGTCACTTTGCTAATGTAGGTGTTGGTGTCTGTGTAAAGTGTGTTATTATTTATCCCTTTAGTCAATTTGACATGTTTATTGTTTTGGGTTATATTTGAATTGGTGTCCGTTCTGAAGATCTCAGTTTGCCCTGGAAGCAGCTAAAACTGGGTTAGACATTCCAGGCCTTTGATGCTCCACATAAGTCTATTAAGTATTAATGTGTTGGTGTCGTTTTAACAAATTGCAATTCGATCACATCATGCAAGTGATTTGGTTTGGAAAAGTTAATAAGAGTGCTTCTAAACCACAGTTTAAAAGATTTTCAAAGGAACTTTTTGTCAGATATAAAATAGAAAAAGATATATCCTTAAGCAATTGTACTGCTGATAAAATTCATCAGTCTTGGATGTTGTATCCCACCTAAGTCAACTGTAAAGTACTGATTACATCAAATAAACTTAGCAACAAAAGTTCTTGTGACACGGATATTTTTTAAAATGCTCCTTTTTGTATACAAATCATCAAAAAAACAGGTTCATGGCACGATGACAGAGTATCCAAATGCATCTGTCAAGGTAATGTTTGCAAATCATGAAAAAATGACTTTGCACGAGAAATTTTGTGAGGAATGTGTTAGACTGTGGATCTTTAAACCTGGGTAAAGGAGAGAATGTTTCATTCTTGATAAAGACACGTTGAAAGAGTGCAATCTGAAAAAACATCAAATTTCTCAGCAGAATTAAACAATTGTTATGCCAAGGCTAACAGAAAAATGAACGTTGGTGAGTTATTGGAATGCTCCAGTCCGGTACTCTACAACGAGATGTTGCTCGCAGATTCAATGTCCATCGAAACACAGTATGGAACTTGTGGCAACGACACCAACAGACAAATCACGTCAGAGACCGTCCTCGTATTGGGCAACCCCCAGTAACGACCCAATGTCAAGACAACTGGATTCGACAGACAGACCTCCGGAACCGCTTCCAACCAGCAACAGTCACGGCAGCAACCATCCCAGGCGGATATCACCACAAACCGTTCGTCAACATTTACGGCTTTTTGGGATCATCGCACGACGCCCATCAAGACGGCCGATTTTGACGTTACAACATCGCCAACGACGTCTACAGTGGGCAAGACTGCATGTGAGATGGACTCAACGTCAGTGGAATCATGTCCTCTTCACGGATGAGTCCAGATTTTCGCTTCACAGAGCTGATGGCCGTGTGCGAGTTTACCATCGACGTGGCGAACGTTATGCTGACAATTGTGTCATGGAAATTGATCGGTTTGGAGGCGGTAGCGTGATGGTGCAATTAATCTGACAGGGCAGCGATATCGGGATGAGGTTCTCCAGCCAGCCGTTTTACCGTTCGTACGGCAACATGGACCAGAGGTGACGCTACAGCAGGACAACGCCAGACCGCACACTGCCCGTGTTGTTCAACGTTTTCTGGCTCAGAATAATGTTGATGTGCTTCCCTGGCCAGCTAAGTCACCGGACATGTCGCCTATTGAGCACGTTTGGGATGAAATGGAAAGAGGCTTGCGGCGCTCACCAAATCCGCCTGTAACGCTGCAGCAACTGCAACAATGTCTTCGTGAGATCTGGGACAACATCCCACAACGATGTCATACACAACTGATTAATTCCATGCGACGGAGGTGTGTTGCCTGTATCAACTCTGCTGGTGGTCATACCCGGTATTAGAATGGGACTTTTCATTCTACCCCCCAAGCATTCAGATTGGTGTTTGACCCTTTGAAATTGTCACTAATCTGAAATTAAGGTTGTCATTAGCAGGTCAAATGTCTGTTCTATGAAATAAAAGTGTTTGTATTAACTTTGTTTACTTATGCGCTTTTCTACACCATTTTTAATAGCGTCACAAGAACTTTTGTTGCGGAGTATATTATGCCAAAAGATTTCCTCTATGTCAATGGCCTCATTTCCCTGGCATGAAGGTCAATGTTTTGTAACAAGGATGGATGAATAAAATGTCTAAAAAATATATATAATAAGAGTGCTTCTGGAAACCGATTTAGAAATTTCTTTAATTTTTTCATGATAGAAGTCAAAAATAATATTTTTAGTCAACCATTATTTGATTTGAGATTTTCAACTTTTTGTGCAATTCTGAACAACCACTTTTGCATTAGTCGTGTGTTCAGCTTATAAAATGTGATGCTGTTGAGAATGCAACTGTCAATGCATAACAAATGTACATAACAAATAGTGGTATAAGTAGCCATGCACGAAATGTCAGTAAAGGCAAAAAACAATAATTCAACAATCATCAGACATCAATACTGAAAGCACCATGCATTGCTGTGCGGATTTGTATTTCTTATCTTCTTAATTGTTATGGTCAGTGGATCGATTTCAAGAATCTACCTGATCACGATTCTTGTCTTGACATTAGTAGGATATCACTCGTCATGGGGTTTTATGAATTAACTTGTTTCATTTTGTGCTTCTTTGTGTGCTGTGAATATATTTAGGTAGTTTTTCGGTTAAACAGTGTCATGGAACAGCAGACCAATGAAGATCCGGGTTAAAATTGGTCTTCAGTAACCCATGCTTGCCGTATGAGGCGACTAACGGGATCGGGTGGTTAGGCTCGTTAACTTGGTTGGCACATGTCATCTTATCCCAATTGTGTAGATCGATGCTCATGCTGTTGATCACTGGATTGTCTGGTCCAGACTTGATTACGGTATTTACAGACCACCACCATATATTGGTGAGTGCAGCGTTAAGTAACAAACAAACCCTGACAATGGGACAGCTTCTGACCTGGACTTGGGTTCATGATGTCCGTTCTGTATTGTTCTCTGTCTGTTTCAGCTACTACTTGTATCTGCAGTTGCGGCGAGACCTCCATCATGGCCGTCTGTTGTGCTCCCCACAAGATGCTGTTCACCTCGCGTCATACATTGTCCAGTGTAAGTAGTTTGGCAGTAGTCCTACACTCTGTGATCTTTCCTAGGATACTAGATGAATTTGCTGACTCAAAATAAGTCTTTTTCAAGTTTGATTATAACATCTGACATTATAACACAGACCAACAGTCATCAACACAATTTCGCTTGTGCTCAGTACAAATTACTATTATATTTTATCCTTAGAACAGTCATTTTCTTCATATACTGTCCTAAATCAGTAATGCCCATCAAAACAAGTTAAAGTGCTCCTGATGTTTTTAATGCTACTATAATTACTCTGTCCTGCCAGATTCACTATATTTTTGGGAAATATTGTATCCTTTAACTTTTTTGTGGCTATATCAAAATACATTTGGTTGACCTCAAGAGATGTATGCAATTATGGGGGAAAATTTATGGATGTCAACTTCGTTGCTCTAACGGACCGACATTTCAGAGTATATCCTTAAAATATGCTTGGAAGCGTTATGTTCCTTATGATTTAAAGAAGTTTATATCCATGCATTTTCCTCTTTAAGTGTTTTATTTCTAAACAACGTTTGAAGACCTACTGTATTCCCAACTGCAGCTTCTGTTATTTGTCCCCAGCCGAGGTTGGCGATTACGATCCACAGGACCATCCACCAGGCTACATCACTGCCTTCAAGATGCTACCCAAGCAGAACGCCAAGATGGAAGAACAGATCCAGGAGCTGCACAAGACGCTCAAGTAAGTTTGGTTTGGGTGGGGACATCCCAGTGAGACCATGGTTGGAGGGTATTAAAAGGGGTAAATTTGAAAGTGGGTTTGTGGGAAGGGAGACAACTCTAAATGTTGTTCAGCAAATAGTTATGATCAAAAGCTCCATATAGTCCAAATACTTTGCCCTGGTATCCTAATTACAGCTTTTTGTTAGTGTTTTAAGTGGCTTTTGTCTCTCTGTTTTCAAGTATGTTTTCGTTGTTTTGATTGAGGGGCTCTGGTAATGGTTTTGTGTTTTCTTTTTGTTTTGTTTTTTTCCTTTTTCAATAGAGCTGTTGATTGTGTATTTCCAGTATATTATAGGGGTCCTCAAGATGTTAATTAGTATCTCTGTGTTTTAGGGGCCAGGTACCTGCTGAAGCTGAGAGTAATTTCCTGAAGAAAGCAGCTGTGCTGGATACTTACGGTGTCGATCCACATCAGGTCAAGGTGAGTAGATTTTACCGTACATAGGTCAAATCAGGTGAAGTTGAGTAGCATTAGTCGGCTGTGTGGATTTGGTGCATTATATTTGCTCTGTATTACTGTTAATTTTACACCTACCTTTGTCTGAATATCTTTGGTGTTGATCAAACTGTTTGATATTTCTAAACATTAAAATGTGTATATTCAGTCTCCTTGCACCCGTGAAGATCCAGGTTAGAATTGATCTTCAGTAACCCATGCTACTAACAGGATCTGGTGGTCAGGCTTGGTTGACACATGTCATCGTATCCCAATTGCGTAAATCGATGCTCATGCTGTTGTTCACTGGATTGTCTTGTCCAGACTCGACTATTTACAGAAGTCTGCTATATCTGGAATATTGATGAGTGCGGCGTAAAACTAAACTCACTCACTCAGTCTTCTTGCTTTTCCACAAATCAGTTTGTTGCATAGGATGTGAATTGATCCGAAGTGAAACATTTTCATCTACTTCATATGTTGTGTTTCAGGATCAGCGAGGAGATCAGTTATACCTGGGTGTGACTCATCAGGGCATCATGACCTTTCGCGGCAGTCGACGGACGCAGCTACATAAATGGTAGAAACATGATCAAACAATCATACAAAGTACACACTGATTGGAAATGATCGGAAATGGTATCCAAACGTGACCTGCATCAATAACATTTGTTGCTGAAACACTCATATTGTGATTTCACTCATTTAATCAAATCGCCATGATATATAAGGGAGAGCACTTTCAGTGCATGAAACACATATAGTAATTTTATTCCAGATTACATTATGCCACAAAGGAAATCTACCAATATATATATGTGTAATTAATTGTCTTCATACTTGAACACTTCAACCTAGTACCAGATAATTAAATTTTATATGAATAGTAGGGAGAATTGATTTCCTTTTTCTGACTTGGTACATACACCTACTTACGCTGTAGCAGAGTTCACATACTGATCTGCCAAGAGGTACACCTGTCCTTCGAACCTTTTGAAGCTGCAGATAGGAGTTAGTTATGTTTGGTTTTGGTCCTTACAGAGATGCCACAGTAGAATTGCTGCCCAGTAAATTAGGCTTGCCTAAGTGAAAACTGAATTTGTCACATGGTCAGGCATGACATCAGACAGTTGGGTCATTGTACCCTGATGGTGTGGATCGTTGCTTAGGTCTTCCTCTCATCCAGATCAGCTGAATATTGCCAAACTGTGGTGTTACTCAACAAATATTGGCAGCTTCTAAAGTTTGAATGAATGATTAAGTTGTACTGTATATTTTGTCTTGATACTCAGGAACATCTATTTGTTTGTTCCAGGAACCAGATCAGAAGGATTGCTTATGAAGCGAAGATGTTTATAGTCCATGTGAATGTTGCAGAGGTGAGATACAACTGACATCTGATTGGTTAAGATAAACATATACTCAGTATAGGCACTGATCATACCTTCATACCTGTTGCCTGTGTCTTATCATGCTGTACAGGAAGTGGTAGTGGTGGAGTTGATGATGGTGACTCAGGGTTGACAAACAAAATAGTCCTTAACTTGCTTGTAGTATGTCTGTTAAGTTAAAAGTGACTTATTTTTGGCACTGTTCAATCCAGAATTTTACATTGTGTATATATTATTCATTGTTATGTATTATTGACATTGGTAAAGATTGATTAAGGCCCTTCTCTAAGAAAGAAACCTCATAATGAAGATGAAAAATCACAAATATTTATTTCTGTTCTCAGATGGGGAAAATATTCTTATCAAAATTTGGAGTTTTGAGTAAATTAAGTTTACTTCCTTGAATGCTTAAGGGAAATATGATTCAGAAATTGTACTTTAAATATTTTAAATATAACTGTTGCCACTCACTCCCACCCACTTGGTGTACACTGTGTTAAAAGCATGGGGATCAAACTCTTCTGTGGATAGGTTCTACATATAGCAACTTCACTGCATATGATTTTACACAAGAAATTTCTTTTTATTTATTTTTTTTAAGTTTGAAAAGTTTGTGTACATTCTTCAGAATAGTTGATCAGCACACAATGTAAAGCTGGGAACACCTTTCACGTCTGTCTTGACCAATCACATTTCATTTTCTGGGCTGTCATGGACATCACACATGTTCATGAAAACTGGTTCAAGGGGCCTTGGTTGTGGATCTTGTTCAAGGTGCATGTTCATCCTGGCTCATGAATCATGTTCTCGGTTCACAAGTCCTGGTTAGTGAATTATGTTTTTGGTTTATTTGCCCCTGTTTGTGGATCATGAATTCTGAATCACGTTCTTGGTTCATGAGTCCTGAGGTATGAATCAGGAATCTGGTCTTGGTTCATGAGTCACGTTCATGGTTCATGATTCATGTTCATGAGCCCATGCTACAGGTTCAGGGTGCATGTGTAATATTCTTGCTGCTCTGTGCACACACACATTCACCTCCACACGCTATTGCAGGAGGAAGATGCTGCGAATGCAAAGAAGGTAAGTCTTGATGTTCTTCTTCTTCTTCTTCTCCAAACCTCAATTATATTGACATAGAGAGACACTTAGATTACTGTGTCTAGAGAAATGCAATATTTCTGTTTGTGCCTGTTTAAATTTTTATGATTGAAAACAATTCTTTTTAACTTGATAATGTTACAGAAACAAATTCAACTGTGTTCAACAATATGTACTCATCAGTTTCTTTCGGCCCTAATTTCCTCCATGTTCTTGGTCCAGTGTGTCCAAGAACTTGTAAACCTAAGTTATTCAGGCTGCATCAGAAATATTTATGTATTGTAGAAGTAAATCATTTCTAAATGGAAGCATGAAGATAAATGGTTGTAGAATAGCTTCTTTATTGTGAAGTAGATGTAACTTAGATTAGATGTAATGGAAAACAGTGTCAATAATTTTATTCTTTTAAGATTTTGTTAATGTTTCTGTACATAATATTTCTCAAGTCTGGTGAAAAATTTAGGATTTGATGAATTTGTTTGCCTGCCTTTGGAGGAATGTCAACTTGAAACTTTTTTATTAATTTCCTATCTCATGTTCATTTGTTTGTCATTTCATATCAAGATTTCATTCCATCATCTCATTGAAAGAAAAAAATCACTGAAAAAAAAAGTTAAATCAGTACTAAAAGAACTGAAAATATTTTCCTCAAAAGAAAATATTTACTGTTTTCTTCAATGTGCCATTTATTGGAATAAGTTTTTTTATGTAAGGAATAACCCAGGAATTGTGAAACCCCTTTGCTATGGAAACAAATTTGTCTTGAATATATGACATAAGTTACGACAAGATTTGGGCAACTGTCATGTAGGTTTCGGATGAGGCGGCAGAAGGGGGAAAGGAGAAAGAGAAGGATAAAGAAAACGAAAAGGGGAAAGAACAGGAAAAAGAGAAAGAACAGGGGAAAGAACAGGCAAAAGAAACTGAAACTGGGAAAGACCAGGAAAAAGAACCTGAAACAGGAAAAGAGCAGGGGAAGGAAACTGAAAAGGGGAAAGAAACTGAAACTAAAAAAGAATCTGATAAGGAAAATCAAAGCGAGAAAGAAAAAACTGAGGAAAATAAGTTCGAGGTATTTACGTCACTCATTACCCTGCTAAAATTTGGAAACAAACATTTCCCATGAAAATGTCAGCATGAAGAAAACCTGTTTTTTCCCTTGTTGATTGGCTTAATTGACAAGAGTGGAATTATGCTATAACATTTTGCAATTTACTGTTCCTATTTTTTTATTTACTAAACATATGTCAAAAATGTTTGATATGAATTAATCTTTTTATTCATTTTTTTAGCATTAACCAAGTTTAGTTAGAATGCATTTAATGATATTTTTTATTTATTTTGATTATGATTCAATAACGCATCAAAATTATGCATTTTTGTTTCACTATGTTTGCAAAACAACGTGTTTATTCTGGTTAAGTATGCTGATGGCATGTTTGAATTATTAAACAGTGCACCTGATGGTTATGTGTGATCGTCAAGCTAAGGTGGTTATAAATTCCATACTTCAATAATGTAGGCTGCAACTATCGTTGTTCTATGATGACTTTATAGAAATCTGTATAATACATAGAACCAAGCAGGTTTACTGCAGGTGGAAACAGTATATAACAGTATATTATTTCATCTTCAGAACGCTCCATACCCTTCCAAAGGGTTTTCTGGGATGTGTCGGAATGTTTTTTGAAGCCATGGAATTTGTCATACTTTGGAGTTTATAAAGTATTTTGAAAAAAACACGTCTTTACAGAAAGAAAGTGTCCTTGTTTTAATTTTTTTTAGCAAGCTAAAATTTGACTTTGCAGCGAAACCCTGATTTTTGTATTTAAAGGGATATTATCTGATTATATCTTCTGGTTTTCTGGCAGACCATTTTACATTTTTGGAATAAGATGCAAACAAACACAGTTTTTCTGTTTTTACAAAACTTATTTTACCAATTTTTCTTTTAGGGAAAATACTTATGCACTGGCGCTGTGGATGTAATTTATTGAATAATCACCACTAGTTGAACTCCTGGCCATTGTTCCAAACTATTATTTGTTACTATGTGCTTTAATGGGTGCTCTTTTGTTTTGTTCCCTCTCTTGCAAATGCAACCTTTAGAGGAAGAAGGAAAAGGTGATAATTACAAATTCAGGTTTTCGGGCTAATATACTACAATTTATTGCTGCTTCAGCTCAGGGAATATCTATCTAACATATGCTTTCACCTATTTATCACTAATTATAGCTTCTGTTTAGAAGTTGTAGTTACAATTAAAGCTTTCACCAAATCCACTTAGTACTTTGTGCATACACATAAAACCTGCCAACAACTTCTTGTTCACATGCTTTTACTACAGGAAATTTGTTATTGAGAATAGTACTTTCCTGCCAATCAGGTACTATTTCCATGAAACTAGATTAAAGTATATGAATCATGTTTGACATGAATTCAGCTTCATCATAGTATCTGGCGTGATTCTCATTAGAAATTTGGTATACAGTAAATAGTATTCTCCTAACCATCAAATAGAATCCTCCTGACACTAGATTTAAATTTATCAGTTTGGCTGGAGCTTGGTTTGATCACCGTTCCATTTGATTTTGCATTATTTTTACATACATTATTTCCTGAACAATATATCAGTCGTGGATAGACGGGGATGGCTCATAATCACCATCTTAGTTTTGGGTATTGGTATATACTACTTTCCATAACATCAGATAGTATTTCCTGACCACTAGCTTTTCATATATCAGTCATTGATAGACCTGAGCTGGGCTTGATAAATATACCCTAGTTTTTTGTGGGCAGGCTTCTTGTAGAAACCATATCCATGACGGGTGATGAGCTTTAGTTTCTCCTCTTCCTCCAACATGTTAGCATGATAGATGTGACGCATGCTGTTTTGTTGGTGGTTACATTACGTGTATATTGTAGCATGTCAACAAGTTGTGCTATGATTTAATTGGCATGATTCCTATTCCTAATACAGGCACTAAACCAATGGCAGTGTGTATTACTAGATGTGGAAATGAAACAGATATGGTCGAGTCATTTACAGGTTTTTCAAATATTTCTGAAAGGTCATTGATTTCTTTTATTTGTGTATTCATTCAAATAAACGCCTGTTGATGTTTTGACCAGTAGACATGTTGAGAGTTGTCTGCCCTGTTTTGGCCAGTCTCCTCACACACACCTGTGAGTAGTTCTCATTGAGCTGTTGTAGAGTTCGGCACCATCATCAACTAGCATCATGTATCAGTAGAAAACACATACTGATGTTCTTACATTGTTTTTGCAGAAAAGAAAACGAATAAAGGTATTTCTGTTTATGCTGCACTAGCAATGTAATACCAAAAATGTTCAAATGTATTTACCTGCATGCTTATTTGAATGAATACAGTGATACGGAAGTCTCTGTTAACAATTAGAGTTGGTCAGACTGATTAATATTGTTCCATATTGTGGTATTGATCTAAAAATAATGTATGATTTAACATACTCGTGAATGTTAAGATCTCGACCATATCTTATGAAAACATGTTGATTTTGTATAAAATATTTCACAAAAATGATAACCAAGTATTTTTCTCTTTGCAATTTTCACTGAAAGTATTGTATGCAGTAATCAATGTTTTGCTTTGACTGAATAAGATCTACCTGATAAATATGTAATGTCTATCTTAAACAAATGCCATTAGTTAAGAAAGTATGATTGAAGATAAAAGACGATGTCTTAGAATGTAGGTAAGTCAGTGCACGTAGTATGTGTAATTGATATAGCTGCACATAGGAGGACCATATTAACTACCAAGGTACATTCGGGGAGGTGATGGTTAAAGTGTCTGCTCGTCACGCTGAAGACCAAGGTTCAATTCCCCACATGGACACAATGTGTGAAGTCCATTTCTGGTGTCCCCCTGCCGTTGTATTGCTGGAATATTGCTAAAAGCGGCGTAAAATCATACTCACTCACCCAAGATACATTCACGAATGGCAGCTGCATATGTAGGACATAGTGAAACTCAGCACACCATAATAGATCGGTTGGAATGCAGAATTAGGTTCTTGTTTTGGACCCAAGTGGGCTTATAACAGTATCGTTCTTTAGCTTTCCTTATCTTTTTAATCATTTCTGAAACACTTATGCTAGCTGGTAACATAAGCTGTAAACAAATGTATAAACCTTTGAGAACCTGTTCTGAGGTCTAGTGCTTGGATCACCTAGTAGATGAATGTTATGTCCAGCTAGATTTGTGTAATGCAATGCCACACCTTCCACCTAGCAGCAGCAGCCCCACGGCTACAAGTGTCTGACTGTCGGAGCGTGCAAGTACCTGTGGAGATGTGCTGTGGAACAACAACTCTTCTTCACGTAAGTCCCTTCTTCAGAGTAATTCCCCTTGATTGATAGTACTGAAATGGTTGAAACTGTATAATCCTGATTGTGACTGACACTGGGATATCCTCAAAGCTTAATCTGAAACTACAGGGTAGAGCATTTTCACTGAGAGGTAAAGGTCATTGGTTCAATCAACTGGACGTGTCATACCAAGAGACAAGACGGTACTTAGTGTTGCCCTGTCTTGCACTTGGCATTAAGTGAATAAAACAAGGTCTGTGTCTGAATAGGCATCCATTTGAAACTAGAACAGGTTACAGTGGTCCAGCACTATAAACTTGGCATCAGTCTGGATAAGTACAACCATCTATACATGTATGTCTGAATGACTTCTTTGAGAGGCATTTAGAAGATTGACAAATAACTGAAGGATGACAATATATGGTAAACAACTTCTTTATTACAATGAGAGCGACGTTTCGTGTAGGTTCTAACATCACTTGCTTGATAACGGTGTTAGAACCTACACAGAAACATCGCTATCTCTGTAATATCGCTGTTCATCCACATATTGTCATCATACCTTATGTCTGAGTAAAGTAATCTGAAAATGGGGTTAACCCACCCATCTCAAGTGAAACTATTTAGTTCATATATGAAAATGTTTATCCCAACTTTACCTTACATCTAGGAAACTACTATGTTACTATTTCCAATTGAATTGCTATATGAAAATGTTTGTTTAGTAAGGCAGTCTTGTGCCATTACCAAAGCTGGATATATAAAAAGCTGTATACAAGTAACAAGATTAGATGGAACTGATTTGTTTCCGTGGTTTATACAACAGGCTGGCGTCTTCATGCAATGCACCCAAGTTGAAGTCAGGCGGAACGCTCTTCAGCCGAGGATCCAAGTTCCGTTTCAGGTATTCGATAACTGCATGCAATATATCATTGAAAATCACACTGGACATCTCTTTCAGCTCTTCAAGATTTCAGTAATAATATGTTTATTATATTTGCAACATCAGTTAAGAGAAAAGAATGGTATTAGATATAACGAGCATGTGCTGTAGAGAGTTAGTAACTATTGATGTTATAGCTTGTGCAACAGACTGTAATAACAGTGTCAAAAGTAGACTAGATGGTCGTTTTATCTCATTCCAGAGTTTAAGTTTGTACATGATTTTAGGTATTATTTTATGGTATATGTTACAAATATTTTTCATTATTCATCTTCTCAAAGATATGTCCTATAAGGCTGAAGCCCTTGGAGGATCTTGTTTAGAACTGGTTACAGATATTTCCATGCTGTTCCTAAGAGGCTCGGATGGTAGGGTAGAAGTGGCAGAAAACCATACTCGTTCATTCAGTCCTAAGAATCTGAATCACACTCATTGGATTCATTGACTATGTGTCATTGTACCCTGCATTTATTGTTGCTCGTCATCTCCATCACTGAATTGTCTGGGTATTTTATTCCTATCAAGACAGAATATTTTTTTAACCAAATTATCATTGGACACATGATTCAAATCCCCTTCCTCTAAGAAAATATGTCTGAAAGATATCGCAATCAATTATGTACATTTCATGGAACATTTTAAATTTATACATTATTTTAATTGATTATGCCAAAGTTTCAAAATGTTTCACCCTTAAGGAAGATATGTTTGAGAATATGAAAGAAGTAAAGAAATAATGAATTGTCGTAACATGACTGTTAGTTTTAACAGATAGAAATAGTCATCTGCTTCCATATGATGTCATAAAAGTTGAATGTTTATCAAAAAGAGAACTCTGTTTGTTGACAGTTGTTCAAGGGGAGGTAACTCTTGTTGTTTACATAGTTACTTCCCCTGACATCAAAAGCTTATGGTGTCTGCTAACTACATGAAACAACTTTCCAGTTTTTATGTGATCATTAATCATCCTGTTCATCATCCCATTGCACCTACATGTTTAAATGACATTTTGAGGAAGTTGATGATTTTGTGTCATTCCTAACGTGTGTGCTTGACTCTACAGTGGACGCTGTCAGGTCGAGGCTCTTTCAGCCAGTGAAAACATAAAGAGGTCAGAGCCCAAATTTCCAAGGCTAGTAGTCCTGCTTTCTCATGCTTATAGTCAAAATACCCAGGGTTGATCTCAGGCAGGGAAAGGAATTCACCATTTGGAAATTTCATAGACATCAAAGTTTAACATCAGCAGAGAGCTCCCTGTTGTATTTTTTTTCGTTCTCTTTTGGGAAATGTATGAAAACAATTGTATTTTACAATTATATTTTGGGAATATATTTAATTGTTTTATCGAACTGGAAATATCCATATGCAGACTGAGAAATCAGAAAGTAACAATTAAATTCTTCCAACAACAACCCTGGGTGTTTTCGAGTAAACTCATGAATCAAACCCAATGCTGCATGTGTAAACTCTAACAATGTGTAAGTATAAAATTTGACTTTATTCATCTGGCTGCGCTGTGTAGATAGTGTCAAATGACCAATCAGAGTGATTGAAAGACTGCATGGCATGTGTTTGCCTGACCAATCAAATTGTCTCTAACATGATAGAGCATGAAAAAACTCATCTTTCTAGAATTTTGCTCTTACCTGAAAGTTTGATTTTGGTTGAGTTTGAAGTTTTTTGTGTTGGACCAGAAAGTCTAGTATTGATTGATGTCTGTATAAAGGTTTGTCTGAGACATAGTATTTAATTCTTTTTATAAAACTCTCTAATACTGTGACAGTTTGTAACGTTTAACACTTAGGTATATTTGTCAATTTTCCTGTTTGCAGCTTTTTGTGTCCTTTTAATTCCTCTATCTTATTTGTGGTTTTTTTTTTAAAGAAATTGTATGTTCTTTGACTGCTTTTTAATCAATTAGGTAAGGCTGTGTAGTTAACACATATTGCTTTTAGATTAACTGTAGCTTTCAGCTCAGTTATCCGAAATGTTACAAAAATTAACTTTAGTCCTCCTTTTTTTTTCATCCACTCAACTTGTTTTCTCCATTTCAAGTTTTCATCTGTTTTGGATGAAGTATTAGACTTGACATAACTTTTATAGTTAAAGCGTTTTGGTAACATTTAAAATCAGAAGTTTCAACAAGAGAAACTGAAAAAAAGTCATGTGATTTATTATTTTCTGTTAAGTTTTATTAAGGATGGTATTGGGAGCTCCGTACCTGGACTTTTCTCATGAAACTTACAGTTGAACAAAAACATTTTATCAAAAGAGAACAGTGTCTCTTTCCAAAAATTGATATACCTTATACTATATATATTTATATATCCAAATAATGTATCCATCGGACCTAACAATTTTAATTATTATGTCTAATGACTGAACTACATCAATGTAACATCTATTAATTCATCATCCTACACCAGCAATATCATACTGACCGTAATGAGCCATCAGAAGCATGATGTGAATCACGCATGACATCATTCTCATTGTGTCGTTGTACGCAGTCATGTCAAATATGTGTCATGTCTGTTTTGATGTCCTCGTTAAAGTCTTACAAAAAGTTAATGTATGTTATTTCTATGGGTAATGTGCCCATTAAGGGATACAATGGTGTTATCATCTATTTCAATAATAGTTTTTGGGTTGATGGAAATATTGTTCTTTAATCCTCTTTTGATAGATGTATTGAAAACTGAACTGTTTATATTCTGACTGAAACGCCTATCAGCAGCACTAGATGTGTATCTTGATTCAGGGGGAAATGATCGTATGCATATGATATGCTAGTATTACATGCAAATTGAATCTGCATATGAGACTGTTTCTGTTGATGCATGGATAAAGAAATGTCTAATTTAAATTACTTCTGTCTGTAATAATTCTGGCTTTTTCATAAATCATAAATTATTGATAGTATAGGTGAAATATTAAATTTGAATTAGCAATGTAGTAACTTTGGAGTCGTCTATTTGATTTACAGAACCAACTCTCTTCCCAACTTTTCCCGCAATAAGCATGCGTCTGAGAGCAAGAGCAGTACGCTGAATACGTCCATCATGTCGGAGCCTGTACCGGAAGGTGAGTTTGGAACATCGAGACTGATGTCCACATGTAACAATTCATTTAAGCTTCGTTTACAGAAAATCTATGCTCAACATTCACAACCAGAGCTTGTCTTTGGAGTGATGACACGATAATCAGTGACATTAAATAAAATATTTCCTGCTCATAGTGACAGTTTGAGCGGGTGGCAATTCTTGTGTTACATACACTTTACAAATTAGACTTCAAACGAAGGTATGGGGGCAAATTGACCCAGGGTATTTATTCGAACAGTATCTAGATTAAATACCCTGGTTCATCAAGGATGTCACACGCCAGATTGCTCTGTGATGTGGCACTGACAGGTTATTTCATGGAATTATCAGCTGTTTAGCATATAATACAGATATATATGCAATATGGAGCTTATGAGTAAAGTTAATTTTTAACTGCTTTAGTGTTTGCTGTAACTGAGATGACGGACTGGTTAAAATAAACACCCTGTCTCAGAGTAGACAGAAGTGCCACCTAGAAAACCAGGGTTCCTTGAATAGCAGCTTTATGTCCCGTCCCTTGTGTTGGGAATATACCCAACGCTGAGGACAAACAGGCAGATATGGGTTACATCACACGGCATACATGTGAAATAGTCACATTGATAGTGGCCCAGTTGTGTTGCCATAGATAATGTGGATAAACAAGCTGGGAAACTTTAGGTTTTGGAAGTAGGTAAAAATATTTCACAATTGAAACACAGTGGAGGGGAAAATAACCAACAGCATCCTTGTGGGGTGTTAACATGCTTGCAAGGTTTATTGATTCTTTTCCAATAAGTGGGGAAGAATTACTCCTGGGTGATTTTAGGCTATGGTTAAAGCTGGACTCCCGCCCGTGTATGTACGTCCCTTGCATGACAGTGTTACACTACTCCAGTAGGCAAAACATGAACAGCCTCACACCTGGTTATTGTCTTGTTAGCTCACCTCGGCTAAAAGCCTTAGTGAGCTTATGTAAGGGCCTGTTTGTCTGTAGTTTGTTGTTGTCATCAGCTGGAACTAGATCACGAAGCCAAATTTTTTCTTCATATTGCACTGATCCTTTTCGCAGTTTCCTTAAATTTATTTCATAAAAGTCCAAACTTAAAAAAAAGGTTAAAGCTAGATATAGTATGTGTTTATAGTATTGTTTGGTTATGATTTAAACAGTGTTGCACCAATACCAAGGTATCACCAACGATTGTATTTAATTGAAGCAAAAACAAATCTACTGAGCTTTGACATGACAAACAACCCTTTGAAACGCTGCATCATTAAATATGTCAAATAGTTTTCAGTGCAAACTTTCATGATCTTAGGGGGCGGTGGGGTAGTTTAGTGGTTAAAGCGTTCGCCCGTCACGCCGAAGGCCAGTGTTCGATTCAACACATGGGTGAAGCCCGTTTCTGGTGTCCCCCGCCGTGATATTGCTGGAATATTGCTAAAAGCGGCATAAAACCCGACACACTCACTCACTCATTCATGATCTTTGTATCAACCATTATTTATCTTGATGAAAACTAACTATCTGAATAATAGCTGCCTCATGTCAGAATTTGGATAAGAATTTGTTAAACAGCTGATTTTGTTGAGTTTTAAGAGAAGGTGAGCTACTGTACCTTGGCTATTGTTAACAGAACTGGCCCATCTGACACAGTGTTAATATATTAATACTCAAATATCACATGTTGTTCTTCTCACCCTTACTGATTTCCATTGTAGTAACCTTTCCACCACACATCCACACAACAGTTAATGGTACTTTAACCTTACTATATTTCATGTTGAGTTAATGTAGAACCCTTCAGTTGGAAGTTAGCATTGTACATGTGCTTTTCTTCCATTTCTTCTAAATGACTTGTTTAGTGGAAAAATATTGGAAAACTTAGCTAGTGGCAAAAGATGATAACTATAAAGCCAAACTGGTCTCTTCAAAAGTGTGCAGTCATTGAGTACACCATTTAGATACCATATCAAGTGCCTTTAAGACATTTGTGTAGTTCTATAATGAAGCACTGTATTACTTCTGTGTTGGGTAGTATGGTATATGGGTGTTATCAGTAGTGTGCTATATTGTGATACAGCATAGGTCTCTGGTAGATACGGTGGGTACATGGAACAGTGGTCTTGCTGGGTTCCTTACTAATTTCTGTAGTAGTAGTTGTATTGTGTTTTTTGTGTTTATAGATCGAAGACGCTACAATGGTAAGTCTGTTATGATGCCTGTCAGTTATATTTTGGCTCAGGTTTGGTCTTCTAAGTCATTTTGCTTTCATTATTGTCTTGTCAGTGACTAAAACTTAGCTGACAGATACAGGTGTGTGTACATCTTGTCTTCAACAGTTATTGAACAGTGCTGAGAAAACAAATTGTATTTTATTTTCTGGTTAAATTCCATTCGTTGGTGTACTATACACAATCTTTCATCAGATTTGTTGTTTCTGTTTCAGTCCTTTTCTTTGGAAATACAATTCCCTGATGCTTAATAAAAGTTAGTCTCCATGTTGTAAATACAGGGAACCAAATTTTAAAATTTTATATAAGATTGCATTATCTGGGAACAAAATCACTTTTTGAAAATTTCTTAGCATTATTTGTAGTTTAAAAGATGTTGTGACAAAAACCTTTATGTATACATAACTGTTGAAGAACAATTTGTATATGGCCTTTAATGATAACCTCTTTCATTATCAATTGTGGTATGTTGATATCTTCATTATGAATATGTGTTTGCTGCCCATTTGAAATGTAAGTTTTATGAAAGTTCTTGAAGGACATCTAAGTCAAGAACCTGTTCAGAAATTATTTGAAAATGATGAAGTCGACATGACTCTTCAAATTACTTTTTGTTTTCATGTTTGTAAATAATCAAAATATTTTGGTTCAAAAGGCAGCAAATCACTTTTTGCCAAGTTTTCCAGCTTTCAGTAATCTATGGCTGAAAAGATTCAAACTTGAGCACCTTCACATGGCAGCTGACAAAGGGCTTTTGGTTTTGATTACACTAACCGCATGTTTCTCCTTATTCTTCCGATTTCACCACAGTCAGTCCCTTGAGTTGTTGCCACTGCCCGGGTAGATGAACCACTGTCACCCACAGTGGTGGTATGCCATGCCCACATGCTAAAGTTATCTCCCCTTGCAAGCAGATTTATTCAAATTCTAATTACCAGCTTCCACCTGCCCACAGCTTTGACCACTGAGTGATGCTGATTTATATGACTACAAAAAATGTTAGACACATAAACAATCACTGTAGTGTACTTGATTTAGGATATCCTTATTGACAAGATGAAGTTGTCTTTATTTTGTGTGAAGAAGGTGAGCTGCTCAGAATATGTCCTCTGTTGGCCTATAGAAGTAGACAAATAGAAGCTTTTATTCTTTGCTATGAACAATGCCAGCTTACTGTCCCCAGAGTTACTTTTATGAAAGGTCATTTTTGCAATGGCATAGTTTTTATACACCAGGTTGTAGATTGTGAGTTACCTCCCTTGGTTGAAAGCATGGCTGAGTAGATATGCCTTGTATAATGTTTGTGAATGATGGAAACCGGTGTGGAGTTGAGTAGGGAACCCCTGTAGGACACAGGTGTGACTCTTCAAGTTTTGTAGTCAGAATGTGTAACTGAAATGAGTTTTTTGACAGTGTGTGCAAATTTGGCTTAAATCAATAACTGTATATTGAGAAAGTATATTTCTTGCCATAAATATTTGTATTATAAACACCAGTAATTACATATGCACGGTCTCTGGTAATTTTTTGACCTGTGTTTCATAAAAAAATACAGACCAAGATTCGCAATCGTATGTAGCTGTATGTTTCCAGGAATATTTTTACATGTTAAAGGACTATACAAATACTGTCCAGTCATCATAAATACCAGATCTGGCATGGCACCAGTATTTCTACACTGAATATATAGGTTGTGAAAAAGTGATATATCCTCACTTACGTTTGAATATATGTCACCTATACTACATGTCCGCCACCATATAGCTGGAATATTGCTGAGTGCAGCGTGAACTAAAATCACTCACTCTATACTACAGGCAGTAGATGATTGAAAAAATCTACAAGTCGACTTCACTTAAAGTTTCTCGGAACATGTCTTTCCTAGCCATACACACCACCAGCCCACATCAAGATGTTTCTCAACAGGGTCTGACCGTTTGTGTCGTCTCTACTTTAAGTCAGGCTGTGTTGTATTGTTGTACTGTTACAGTCTTCTATTTGTGTTTCATTTGGGAAATGGGAATTTATTTTTGACGTTCTCACTGTTTGGTCTGACACTTGAATACCTGCTGCAAGTCATTGCCCCTTAAAAATTTGACTTTTGTTCAAAGTTTGTGTAATTTATGTTGCAAAATTTTAAAGTGCTGTTGCTTTAGATATTCTGCTTTAAATATTCAATGTACAAGTAAGCTTAGGTATACAAGTATTGCTGAACGGTTGTCAGGGGTATTGTGCTTTTGGATATGTCTGCACAGGTTTGCTGCTTTACACTAAATGGTGGACTTTTTAAAAATAATAAGTATAAAATTTCATTCCCAAAAAGAATATTTGTTGAGAAACACTATTGAATTCATAAAATGTTATTGGAATAATATTAAAAAGGTGTAGCATCACTGTGTGCAAAAAAAATGATATTTCAGATCAATATACCAAAGAATATTTAACAGCACTTGTAATTTTAGTATTTCAATTCGTTGAGAAAAATCAGTTGTGTGATTTATTAACTTGAGCCTCAACTGAACATGGACATGCAGTTTCATTCCCAACTTAACTTGTTCTGTTTAATCCACTAGTTTATCTTGCACCGAGTCGCCGAGCCCAAGGTAACTACACCTGCATGCTGATCATATCATGCCTCATTCAGTTCCATCACCCATCTGTTCCGTCCTCCCACCGGGATGTTTCATGGTCTCCTCATTCAGTCTCTTGCCAAAGTTTAGCTGTTCTAGTCAAGGGGCTGAAAGAAAATTCAGTATGGCGGAATACTAAACTCATGGTTTACTTTAACTTATTCAAAATGGATGACAAAACAAGTTGTTTCCTTGTTTCACAGACTTTGATGGTCAGTATTCTTGGAGGATTACAGCAAAATGGAAATTGTTTCTTTGGGTTTTGAACATGAGCATGTTTGTAGAATTTCATGGTACCTTTTTGCTGTACCGTTCACAATATATGATACCAGATCAAATAAGTTTAAGATAACCATAGGCTTTCAGTCCCCTGAGAAATTTTGACTATATTCTGTCACCTGATTTGCTGTGAGCGCACTGTGCCAGCACCAGAGTAGGGTAGTGCAATTCATGGGACATTCTTCTCATGTTGTTCACATTGTTCATTTGAGCTTGTTTGCTAAGTCTTCCTTCACGTCTGTCTGATGCCATTCACTATCACAGAAGCCTGTGATGTAAGTTTGAAGGCTTTACTGTTGTGTCATATTGTTGAAACCATCAGGAACAAACCGATATTGTCATGGTTATGTGTCATGGGTGGGAGATACCATTGCCTTAAATGATTCATCCCATGTAAACTGGTTATGAGGGATAATTACTTATTGTATGTATTAGAACTTGACATAAAATGTAATATTAATCAGATTATATATCGCATGTCATATCTTTCCTTTCACTAAAATGTCACTGTTTATGACATACAGTTAATTGATTTTATGTAATCTTAAGAGCTAACAGTCTTTATCAATATCAAGGTGTCATGGTGATATATCCCTCCCCTTGTACCACAACCACTGAATAAACCCCATCTATCTCTTTCTCCTCTACACAAGACCCTTCCCCCTTTCCCTCCCATGGACTTTCAGATGCAACCACAAGGGACTCGGCTATTTTCGCATTTAAATTATTCACTCTTATGATGAACTAACATGTTAGAAGAATTCAGAAGTCACTTAGATTCATATCATTAGCTAACAGAGTCTGTAGACTCTTTTTACGGCTAACAACTTCTATAATATTATTTTTAATTTTTGTTATCCAGAAAAAGTTCCATGACTTCACAATCTTTCAACTTCTAAAAGTTTATCATGGACTTTCCTGAATGAACAAACATAATTAAGATCACAGATATTTAGGCTGAAAATGTCACCAATTTTGATGTTAGTTAGTTATATATACATTATACATACAAGCTGTTGTATTGATTACATTATCTTCAGGATTGATTCTGAAGCTAGTAGTTAACCTGATCTTAATAGTCAACAAGCTGTTACTAATGCCTCCTCTCTTTGCCATGGCAACGCTTATCTTTTCTTATGTTATTATTACCTAGAACGATAATTATGAGTACTATCCTTTCAGTATTATGATGATTAATAGTTCAGATTTTGCATTTCTAAAAGATATGAACAGTCATTCCTTAAGTATAAATGTACCACAGATTTCATTGGAGAGAAATTCATAATTTACAGTGGAAGTAATCTGGTTAATGTTAACACGGCTGTGAAACTGTCATTCTGAGGAATCCTGTTGTGTTATCAAGATGTATCTCATGAAAGTGTAATTATCTTTGATATTTTATTATAATACTGATAGTCAGGATATATATGATGTTAGTAACTAATTATACCTGCTCATTAGTATTACCATAATGATTAACATTAGAATAATTAATAAGAATAACATCCAAAGTACAGAGAAATATCGATCCTCATCTATGATGAAAACTGTTCATTTCATGTGTTTCGAATAGGAATGGCGGAAGAAACTCCCAATCAGTCTTTTGAAATCACCCCAACAGGTGAATTGCTAATATTTTATTTGGGGGCTCACATCTCTCTCTCTGTCATTTCTTCACAGTTGGTGGGTAGCCTCTGCACACGCAGCATTGATAATGTGACACGTCTATCTTGCACATGCGGCATTAACAGTGTGATACATCTATCTGATTTTTGCCTACTCAGCATTCACGCCTTTGTTGTGATGTCATGTGTTTATGTTGAAGTCCAAGACACCAGTGCCATTGTCAGTCAAGCAATGATATTTCATTATTTCACGTTCACATGAAAAACATCACATGTAATGATTATGGTCAGATTACTAATCTAAATTGATATTTTTTTAATCATCTTGCAAATATGTTAGAGATTTTCATGATATATATCTGAACTGTTTGTGAGTGAAAAGTGTCTGGAAGGAGTAGAGGACGAAGGTGTCAATGCTGGGTATGGCTTTATACATGCATGTTGTCTACGTGGGTGTGAGGGAGCAGGTTTGTATGATGAGACAGCAGAGGGATCAGCTTGTGGCAGGGTTGTAATGATTCACCTAGTATTGGTACATCATGATACTGTCCTCACCCACTATTGGTACCTATCCATACAATACTGTCCTCTGTCCTCACCCAATATTGGTACATCACTATACTGTCAACACCCAATATTGGTACTCACCGATATCAAACACCCAATATTGGTACATCGCGATACTGTCCTCACCCAATATTGGTACATCCCAATAACACCCAATATTGGTAGATTGCAATATTGTCCTCACCCAATATTGGTACACCCTGTCCTCATACTGTCATCACACCTGTCAACACCAACATTGGTACATCGTGATACTGTCAAGACCCAATGTCCTCACCCAATATTGGTACATCGCGATACTGTCCTCACCCAATATTGGTACATTGTGATACCTGTCAACACCCAATATTGGTACATCACCTCCAATATTGGTCGCATCGATCAGATACTGTCCTCACCCAATATTGGTACATCAGCGATACTGTCAACAATATTGGTACATCAGCATACTGTCCTCACCCAATATTGGTGTCCTCACCCAATATTGGTCATCGATACTGTCCTCACCCAATATTGGTACATCATGATACTGTCCTCACCCAATATTGGTACATTATTGCGATACTGTCATCACCCAATATTGGTACATCGCGATACTGTCCTCACCCAATATTGTAGATTAGTGATACTGTCCTCACCCAATATTGGTACATCGTGATACTGTCCTCACCCAATATTGGTACATCGCGATACTGTCAACACCCAATATTGGTACATCGCGATAATGTCCTCACCCAATATTTGTAGATTGTGATACTGTCCTCACCCAATATTGGTACATCATGATACTGTCCTCACTCAGTATCTGTACATCGCAGTAATGTTTTTATGCCTGTATTGGCACATTGAGATACATGTCTAGTTACATGATAGTAACTGGTACATGTATAAGACTGAAGACACAAGTCTTGAACAATAAGTAGGTCAAATGACCAGTTCGGGCTATTTGAAGTAAGTATGATTTGTTCGCATCCCTTGTCATTCCCTGTGATCGTGAAGTACAGCCCCTTTAGGAATGATATGTCTGTGCTGTGAACTTCTAAGTCATGGCAGTGAATCATTACAGCCCACTTGTCGCCACAAATAGCTCCGTCCCTCACTGGCACAAAGAGATCTCAGTAACTTTAACTTACAATAGTGTGGGCCCAGGTTACACATTCATCCTGAGTTCAGCAGATAGCAGAAGATCTACATTAAGATTCATAAACAAGTGTTGTGGTTCTAATGCCATTGTGTTTTAGGACGGGTTAGCTGGGTGAACCTTCTGGTCTTTTAATATAAAAAACAACCTGTAGGACGAAATTGGGCTGCGTTTGGTAGTACAGTGATTGGAACCACATCACTTTTTATGGATTCTCTTAGAATCTGGAGTTTTCAATTCATGAATTGGAAATCTGAGTTCATGAGGAAGCTGCTAAATGTATGAGATTGGGGCCTGCAGGTGGCCTTCTGTTCATGGGGGGAATTGATCAGTCACTTTTCTCCTGTAGTTCACAGTTCTTAGGGTTCACAGATCATAACGCTTGAGTTTGCTTCTTGGAATTGTGTGGAAATATACTACTCAAGCAATGTTAAAGAACATCTGGTTCTTTCATGTGTGTAATATGAAAGAAGTGGATGTTCTTTAACTTGTTTGTGTAGTGTACATGGGAGTTTCATGGAATGGTGTGGAGATGCTTGGGTTTATGGTCTCCTGTGCTGAGAGAGAACAAAATCATTTCCGTTAGCATGATGTGTATGCCATGAATGAAGTGTCCATCACAGAACCTTGAACTCATGGTTCCAGATATATGTGTTAATCAAGTGCAAGAAGCACTCCAGTGTAGATATATTTCAAGAGTTGTAAAATCCAAAGGCCAGCCATAGTTGCAACACTACCACAATGCACCGTAATCTATGAGACACTGTTTCATGTAAAGATTGGGATATGATTGCTGTGTTGATGCACATTTTCTTTCTCTGAATTAAACACATGGAATCTCTCACTAATCAACTTAACAAATACTATTATATACAGAATCTAACTAATAGAAATCTTGCCATATATTAACTGAGATTGCATAATTATCTCCCTTTAATATGTCTGGCTATGCTCTCTGTCAACTGGAATGAGGTTGTGGGAAAGGTCTTTATTAATGGTTACGTGCAGCAATGGCATCAGTTAAATGGCCACTGTTGGCAACTCCAGATTTTGTTTCATGGTGTATCTGTTAAATATTGTTTTCATCATGTTATAATGTTTTATTGTCACACTGCTTTCAAGGTTGTTATGACTTCTTTTGTCTGTGAAGACTCTTGTGTCCAACAAACCACATCAAATTGTAAATGTTTGCTGGTTACACGGGGGACTCAGTTATCTGAGTTGCCACAGTTCACCGTAGAAATGCATCCCTTTGGCACATCGAAAACCTATGATTATGGTTCTCTGTTCACATTGGTTATGTTTCTAGTTATGTCCACACCATAACTGTGCTAGTGGGGTTCAACTAAGTGGTGGGGCAGTGAGGTAGCCTTGTGGTTAAAGCGTTCGCTCATTACACCAAAGATTCGGGTTCAATTTCCCACATGTGTACAATGTGTGAAGCCCATTCCGTTGTCCTTCACCAGGATTTTGCTGGAATATTGCAAGAAGTGACGTAAAACCACTCACTCAACCAAGTGGTAAACATCACTTTGGTGTCACTTTGGGCTTTCCTTCCATATTAGCTGACACGCTGTGATGTAACGGGAATACTGTTCAAAGCAGCATTGGACCCAGCTCACTCGCTCACTCACCAGTGTTTGTCAAGGTAACTCAGTGAGTGCTAAGCTTGTTACTGTACACTCAGTCTTGTGTATGAACATCAGTACTCTACATTATACAGCATGGTTGTGATAAATGTATCCGTGATTGTGTGATATCATTCGCCATAGCCCCATGTCATGTAAGCACACATATCGTGTTTGCTTTGTGTATGGCATGAAGTGATATCATTTGTGGTCATGTACGAGAATGGTTTGTATATTACGATATAACAAGTCAACCTTTTGCGTAATAATGTCAAGACTTTTCGGACGTAACGGTTACATGAAGTTGAACTTTGGTTCTGCTACAGCAGTGTCAGAGTGAACTATAGTCCCAGCAATTCCCAATGGTTAAAGGGAGACTACTTCATTATTTGGTGCCTAGTCTGGGTCCAGTATTAGAAGTTTGCTTAAACATTTGACATTAAAACTTAAGATATTGTCTGGGTATAGCAAGGATAATCATCATCTGCTCAAGTTTTATTAATCAGTAATTGTGAGTTAGCACACAGGTTGGGTCATGTTGAATCTACATTACCAATTTGTCCTCGGTTAGTCTCCCTTTAATCCATGAATTAAATGAAATTACTGAAATTGGATGCATTTCCTATCAAAGGATTAGTGGCAAAGTGTTTACCACAGACAAATTGAAAATTTAATATGTGTTAGTGTGTCACAAAAACGTGTCCTGTTTGGGGAGCATGTTACATTTTTGTTCATGTTTTACAGAAGCAGCAGTGGATGTCCCTGGGAATGCCTTCGGAGCACAGACGTCCAGCCTCATTGTCCCAGAGAGCCCAGTCCTGAAGGCACCCCTAGCTGCAGAGGAGAAGTTTGATATGCAGAAGGTTCAGGCCGTGTCTGCAAGCGCGCCCGGTCAGAAGACCCCCGTCAATGGATCTGTCCCGGTTGACCCCTCCTTCCTGGAAACCAGCACCGATTCCATGCCGTCCTACCAACCAAACATGACGATGGATGACGACGAAGAGGATGACAAGACACCCAAACCGTCTCTGGACGAGCAGATTAAGCAGCTTGAGCAACAGTACGAGAAGATCACCAGCGACCAGAACCACATAACGCCTGGCGGCAAAGTTGGGGCATCACCTAAAGCCGCTCCTGCTTCTACCGGTACATCAAAGTCTCCGCCCAAATCATCTATGTGTGCAACCTGCTGCAAGGTTTTAACCTACTCAATCCTGTTTGCTGTACTTCTTATGGCGGTGACTGTTGTTGTTTTGTTTTACACTAAATTGGATCACCCATTGCTGGATGAAGGACGGAAACAACTGCAATTCCTCGAACCTGTCAAGCACTATATCGACGACTCAGTGGAAGCAATTGCCAGCAAGTTCAAGTGAAGAAATAACGTCTTATTTTTGTGTCAGAGTTATTTTTGGTTACATATCATTGGCAATAAGTGACAAAGCCAACTTGCAGAAAACATGTTACACCACTTAGATTGTGATAGAATCGTGCATTGTAAAACCTCTCCTTCTGATTATTCTATAGCACTCTGTTTGTTTTGTAGGATAGAGAGTGAGTAAACAGTGCAGTTATTTCTTATTCAGCAACAATGTATTCAGAATGATTGTACAGATTTAAACGAACATCACGAATCTCATATCATGTTTCTACATGTCAATTATAATATTAACTTATAATATAATTATTGGACAATGGTTAAACATATTATCGATATTGCATTTTACAGGAATTTTTATAAAATTTTACAAATGACAGATCGGGACTGATAATTTTTCTCTACCTCTTGTTAAAAACACAATACTGCCTTACCGATATGGCACAACTCAGGAAAACTTCCATTACTCTGTGTATGCCATCGCTATACATACATGATACACACTATCTGACTAGTAACCATTTAATGTGCCTACCGTGAGATAAAAGTGTTAAGTTTGTGAAATTATCATGTTTTAAAAGTCAGCTGCATCTGTAATGTCTTTGATACTTCTGTTATCTGAATTGAATAAATGTAATGCATAATATAGACTCTGACAGTTCCTAGGGTCCTTGTACACAGTTTGTGTGAAGGAGAGGTTTTAGTAATGCAATGTGGTGGGGATGTTACCATGGTGATTGCTTCTCCCTCTTATTCGCTATTTGCAATTTCAGTGAGTGCAAAATGTGAGTCTATTATTAGCCCTTTTAGCTAAATAATTTCAAACATGAAATTTTGTTTTGAAAATTAATATATTATGTCAGCAGTAATAGTGATATGAAATGCGATTGTGTGTCTTTCTCTACTTGCCAGTGTGGAGATATGCAATAACACTTTAATAATGAGTCAGTTTATCACCAAGTATTTGTCCCCACCATCTTGTTTTGTGTGACCGTGATCTGAATCTATTTACACCTCGCCCGCGGGTGCGATAATATTTCAGGCCCTCATCATGTGACTTGTGAGTTTTGTGACGCTTTTTTTCGCACATTGATGAGGTGTAACTGAAAGTTGAGGGGGCAAACCCAGAGGGAAGCATAGGAGGGTGCAGATGGATAGCAAGCAATTGTAGATTCACTGTCGATAACTTAATTATACTGCTAGAGGCATTTGTTTTCAAAATAGACTGAACAAAGATTTTATTTTGGGATAGATCTGGGATAATTTTGGGTGGTGTGATATGCCCTCTGCACCCTCCGATATAAAGGAATGGATTGTAGACAAGAATAATTATTTATTTGCAGATAATGTAGTTGATCAACAAAGTTTTGGTTAGTTTATGTGCCTGCTTGTGCAATTCTACTGATTATACTAATCCATCATGACAAAAATACCTGCTTTGCGTAAATGTAGACTAAATTGATTCAGCCAGTAGTTCAGCATGGAATCCATGTCAAAATTCACTTTCATTTAACTCTCTTATCCTCGAAGTTCAAAGCTGAGATTTATCATCCTTTGCAGTAGACTACCTTGCTTCTTAGCCCGAGTCCTGGAACAGAGGATACTGAAACCTATGGTTGCTATGATACGGTGGTTGCTATGTTACATTGTACCATACGTGATGCTGGTCATGTAGATAGTATAGAAAGGGCATTGATAACCTTCATAGTGTATGGTGCTACAGTCCATTATAGGAGGGTGTTAATTTGTTCGGGCTTGGATCAGTAGTGTGTTTTTTGTGTGCAAGTACTAAGTTTTGACAGTATGTACTGGAATGTTTTACCCAAATAAGTCTCAGCTTTGGGCAACTTGGTTTTCATTGGTTGGAGTCATCGGTATACTGGATTGATCATGTAGTATGTCAAGGGCATTGTCAGATGCTTTAACAACATGTCTTCAACATGGTGTAAGAATCAGTGTTTCCTACACAGATGTCAAAAAAAGGCAATGATTTGGCATGAGAATAAAATCTGGGAAGAGACAAGGTTGAAGCTATAACATGTTTATCCAGTAAGAAAGAATGTTGAATTACCTGTATATTCATTAGTTCTGGAAAGAAACTGATATAACAACTTTGAATGTTGAGGGAGACCTGGAATGTCCAAATGATCCGACTGTAAACCACTGTAGGATGAGAGAGTTAGATCTGCCTCTGAGTGCTGCTGGATTGGGTGGGCTTGTATCTATATTCAGCATCACAGGATGAAAGTGGGATATCGCGTATCACTGTATCAACTGGAGAACGCATGTTTTTTGTCACTAATAATCTGCCAGTCTGGAAACCCTTTTTCTTAAAAGTATAGTGTTTTGATCTCAAGGGGTAGAAATTTGAGTTCTATATTAAAGGATTTCTGTCTGTTTTATGTTCCAAATATTTAATTGTTTTTCATTTTAAATGGTAAGGTTTGGCATTTTTATGAGGAATTTCTTATTGAAATGTTGAAATTAGATGTATACATAGAATATTCATACATAATTGTTTAACTTTGTCTTTATTTATTTCTATCATTCTATGACATTTTCCTGCGATTTCGATTTTGAAATCCTGAAATATGATGGCAGATATTGGTACTAATTATCCACTTGTTGCGTACGCTTCATATTGTAATGTAGATATTTAGCTAGAATAACAACATGCTTGTATCTTCAGTTCTGCTGTGTTTCAAGTCCATGAATTATGCAATACAACTTGTTGTGTCCAACATACTGGCAAGACTAACATAATAACTCTCGGATCATCTCATTGTAACATAGGCCATTGTGTCATCGCTCATGGATCTGGACTTGGCTGTACCCTATAATCGACCCCCACTGCTGGAAGAGGCAAAAACCGAATTAATATTTTTAAATCATGTTGAAATTTATTAACAGATTATTAACTTTCATACGTTGTGTCAAGAAGATACTATGTTGTACACTGTTACATGTGTTTGTTATGTGGCATGTTTATATTGTATGTAAGCGCAGTCTAAGACTATGATTTTCCTGTGGTCAGATATGACTTTGCCTCTCTAGCAGTAGTTACCGCAAGTCCTCAAACAGAACATGGGTTGAAGGTAAAACCAGCAGGGCTCAAAAAGTCTGGAACAGAATCATTTTAGATTTCTTTAATCTAACAACTGTTTTGTAATATCACCAATTTTAAGATAATTTAAAATGAACTTTAAAAAGGCTGGTCTCAGAGACGGAAGCTTGGGTAAAAGTGTAAGAACCCAGGCATCTGTTTGAGGACTTTAGTTTTTAATCTTTTTGAATCGCTATACATTTTCTGAGCTTACCATTACAATGTTATTTTAGATCTACACGCCTTGCATGTTTTAATTCGAATAATTTGTTCATGTGTTTGGACATATCCACCATGATCTTTGTTGAGATTGTATGTACAAACCGATACTCATCTAGTTACTGCACATAAATTGTTACATATTCTTAATTATGTAGAACATATTGACTGAAGTTGGTGATATCTTAATTTTCCTCCAATTCTGTTTGTATAGAGAATCAATATTCTCTCCTCTGTATGGTGACCAGGCTAGAGGAACTGTAAGTGTATATACATACAAATATATGTGTTAAACTTGGCAGCCACTGAACAAGTGCTTTCTTAAGCTGTTGATTGTCCTAGATTTATTCCTTCCTGTCTATCACCTGTGTTTGTCGGTTACGTGATGTGTGGTGGTGTTTTATTTTAGACATGTTGTTGATGTTGTACATTCTTGTTAAAGACTTAGAAAGAAATACCTACATTTATACCTTCAAAACAACCACTTTTGTCAAGATTTATTTCTACAAACCACAGAATTTATATGTACTGTTGTGACCATAGAAACGTACCATCTATTGTAAGCATGAAACCAACCACATTCTAGATGAGATAGAATATCCGAATGTATTACAGTACTATTCTGTGTACATGGTAGTGTCCATCGATATGACAGTTATCAACCTTAATATGTATTACAGTACTATTCTGTGTACATGGTAGTGTCCATCGATATGACAGTTATCAACCTTAATATGTATTACAGTACTATTCTGTGTACATGGTAGTGTCCATCGATATGACGGTTATCAACCTTAATATGTATTACAGTACTATTCTGTGTGTACATGGTAGTGTCCATCGATATGACAGTTATCAACCTTAATATGTATTACAGTACTATTCTGTGTACATGGTAGTGTCCATCGATATGACGGTTATCAACCTTAATATGTATTACAGTACTATTCTGTGTACATGGTAGTGTCCATCGATATGACGGTTATCAACCTTAATATGTATTACAGTACTATTCTGTGTACATGGTAGTGTCCATCGATATGACGGTTATCAACCTTAATATGTATTACAGTACTATTCTGTGTACATGGTAGTGTCCATCGATATGACGGTTATCAACCTTAATATGTATTACAGTACTATTCTGTGTACATGGTAGTGTCCATCGATATGACGGTTATCAACCTTAATATGTATTACAGTACTATTCTGTGTACATGGTAGTGTCCATCGATATGACGGTTATCAACCTTAATATGTATTACAGTACTATTCTGTGTACATGGTAGTGTCCATCGATATGACAGTTATCAACCTTGATTATGTACAGAAATCATGTTGGAATTCTTATCTGGGAAATTATCAGAATAAAAAAATTATTTGGAATGACTAACCATATCCGAGATTCAAATAACTGATGTGACCTCAGTTCAGTATTCATGAATGACTAACCATTATTACTTCATAATGAAACAGAAAAAACATTGTATAATGAAGCGCGTATTTGGATTTTTGTGAGGTAATAACATTGAAAAGATGAAACAAGATTGTTCTAGGAATGTTGTTTCCCTGATTAACAGTGTACTGAGAAGAGTGAGTGTTTAACGTCTACCAATTTCATAGAGATTGTCTCTACTTTCAGCAGACTTATTTTCTACTCTCAAGAAATTATGCAAAACTTTGAATTTTTCAGAAAAATATATCTTACATTCTGCATTTTATTTAAAAGATATTTATATTTTTCTTATTTATTTACGAATTGATGAAATAAAGGTGCACTGTAGATGAAGGGTAGCTCGGAACACTTTGATTTGAGGCTTCCCTGGGTCATTTATGGGGGTTCATCCATTAATTAATTCATAGTTTTACCAGCTTTATCCTTCCCATGCTTTTCAACCTCAAATCATGCATTTCATCAGTGATGCTTTAGCCATTCAAAAATTTCCACTTGACAAAACGCACTTCTGATGAATTTTTCAAGGCACTTTTCTCTCGATTGATTTATATCTAACAAAAAAAGATTAATATCAACAACTTCTATCTATTTACCTTTTCATCCGAGTAGCTATCATCCCTCCAAGTGTCTGAGGGACAGTGGTGACACAACTTTCCTGGATTTTTAAAGACATCCCAAGTGATGAACAGCTTTATATATAACACATGCAGGACTTGTCTGCTATTTGACGAAAACTGATTTTCTAATATTAATGCATGTTTTATAAACCTCATGCCAAGGTCAACTTTAGTTCGCTGTTATTTTGCTATTATTTTTATTTTCTGGGGACCAACTTTTGTTCGTCCCTCCCTTCCTCGTGGTTGTGTACTGGCTCGCCTGATAACTCTGTGTCTACTTTGTAGAATGCATCATATCGAGCATTTACAAGGATTTTCAACAAAATAATAAAAAAAAATCCACTCTGTAGCAAAATAACTGTTTTTGTGTTTTGTTCTGTTTGAAACAGACTTGAGTGTAGCAGGTGCTTTGGAGAAACAAACACTGACAGATCATGCATCGGTAATATTGAAATTATCATTATCAAGCTGTATCTCTGCTGCCTGAAGATTATCAAGTCTACCAGACAAATCACTGTCCACATCTTTGTAAATGACGCACAATTGACCTTCGCAGACATTTTGACTTCCTGGTCATCATCTGTCAGTACTTGGTAGAAGAATGAGGGTGTGCAGAACCCAAGTGTGCAGTTGGCCTACTGTTGGAAACAAAGCATGGAGGACTTCATCTTCCGAGTCCTTACAACATCAGTCTCTGCACACATTGTATGCAATTGACTTATTATTCCATGTGATCCCCACCACGGGGTACCCTGCGAGTGAGTCAAGGTTGTTTAACACTGTATCGAAGAGACCCGGAGATAAAGGCGCAGCGTAACAACTTGTAATATATCTTGTGACATTTTCATGAATAACTCGTCATGATGAATTCATCGATTGAAGAAGAGAAACTAGCAACAGACTTTGGCTAATACTGACTGACTGAGCAACATCACGGCGGGGGACACCAGAAATGGGTTTCACACATTGTACCCATGTGGGGAATCGAACCCGGGTCTTCAGCGTGACGAGCCAACGCTTTAACCACTAGGCTACCCCACCACCCCAACTTGGGCTAATAAATTTCAAGTAAGCATGTAAGCTATCTTACTGAATTTTATTGACAGCGACAAAACAAAAGGTCATACACAACACAACATCTGATAACTGCAAGCACTGTTTGACTGTAAGGACAGTTGCCCCTTACCGTAATTACCCAGTAAAAATATATCCTACTTTCTGTAGTGTGATACAAGCAATATTGGCTCCCAACAACAAAGCTACATCATGGTAGATGGTACAGAGTTTTGAATTAACATCTATCTCTGTACAAGACATATCAAAGATATCTTACACAGACTTTGCGTTTTTTCAATATCAGATTAGCATTTTATCTGTTGAACCATTGTCTGTTACATAAATGTTAAACAAATTACTTTGATCGCCAGGGTTATATGCTCCTAAATTAAGTTGTCCTTTATCACAATGGCATGTGACTCAACAGATTATATAAAACCAGCTATTTGTATACTCAGACCTACTGAGTAATATCACTCCCTTAACTCTCAAAGCAACAATCTCCCACTCATTTTGAAGAGCATTTCAGCACAAATATCGAACCAAGCCTTCAAACACATCTTTGGCGGTGGGGTAGCCTAGTGGTTAAAGCGTTCACTCGTCACGCCGAAGACCCGGGTTCAATTCCTTACATGGGTAAAATGTGTGAAGCCCACTTCTGGTGTCCCCCACCGTAACATTGCTGGAATATTGCTAAAAGCGGCGTAAAACTAGACTCACTCAAACACATCTTGGACAGTCCCAAAGCCCCAGGGTCTGGTAACACAAATCATTCACCAGTTATTGTCCATTCATCAAAGCTTCCTAAAGATGAAACATCGTGAGTTAGCTTAGTTTCACACTGCTTTTAGCATTATTCCAGCAATATCACTGTGGGGGTACACCAGAAATGGGCTTTACACATGTGGGGATTCAAACCCAGGTCTTCAGCGTGACAAGACGATGCTTTAACCACTAGGCTACCACCCCCAGATCATGAATGTCGAACAAGCTTTACAGCTGCATGATCACAGCCAGTCATTACTCAAGCATGGGACTCACAACGGACTGATATTGAACATGTTGAAAGTCTTGATAATATCCGTCGAGGTTCGCTGACATGACACCAACTCCAATACATCTCTACATACAGTGACATCATACAGTGTTTTACATGAAATAGATGGGATTACTTGAAATGATGTAATGATTGGGCTTGTCTTGAAGGAGAGACTCACAGACACAGACACACACACATTCACGCATCAGCTCTGAGGCACTACAACTGTTTCACCGCCTCATCAATGTCCTCAATCTGATCCTTCAAACTGTTCCACTGGTCCATTGTAAGTGAGATTCCTGAAAAAAAAAAACCAAAAACACTTTTAATACCACAATTGAAGCTTACGTTTTTTCGCTATCTTGAAAAAATTAACATACATACATGAACAATATATATGGTAGATACTATTATTAAGCATAAATATTACATAAATTTCAATATATATGGTAGATCACACAGAAATAAAAACAGAATGCCTTTTTCTCCAACATGTTTCGTTCTTTGCTCTTCAGGGATATTGTAGCAGTTACAGTATGACGTCATTACATATATATTGTGACGTCACAATAACATAATAAATGTCATAACATGCACAGGCTGTACTGAACAGTATATTGGTCAGTCAGAAAATGTAAGAGCCCGGGTTCGTGTCCATAAACAACAAATAAAGTGTCCTGAAACCCGATGTATCTTACTGACTGAACATCTAGATGTCTGTGCGAAAGGAAACGATATTAAACTTACAATATTTCCTTTTTATCAAGTTCAAAATTCGGACAAAGTAAAACGAATTTGAAAAGAACACTACTTCATAGATAAGTTCAAACCCATGTTAAACCATTGCAAGCTTTGACCTTGTCGCTCTAGAATGTTGTCCCTATTGTGACGTCACAATATATATGTAATGACGTCATACTGTAACTGCTACAATCTCCCTGAAGAGTAAAGAATGAAACATGTTGGAGAAAAAGGCATTGCTTTAATTTATCTATGTGATATTTAGGACAACACCTGTACTATTTTGTGTGTATATATACACTGTGTGTGTGTGTGTGTGTGTGTGAATAAACCTGGCTTATCCTCTAAAAGTCATTTCAGCATTTTTAACCTTGTCTCAGTATGCCTGTTTCCTGAATTTCAACCATCACTATAACATATAGATCAGACGCTTTGCTTTGGAAACAGGTTTTTAATAAATACACCTGAAAAAAGATCAAGTTGACTTGGTTTGTAAATAAGTGTACAATCGTAGGAGTATTCTTTTTCACCACATCTGGACATAAATGTCCACAGACACAGGAAAGATTGAGATAGTGAGCATAGTTTAACACGGCTTCTAGCAATATTACAGCAATATCAGAGATGGTTGAGATAAAAAAAAATCTTGTTACTGTCATGTTCATGTTGGAATGAAATTTGAGAACTGGCAGGAGATTGCAAAGATACAGAAACTAATGTGGACATGATTTAAATCAATAAGGTGAAAACATTCACAATTTTGACAAATGCAATATATAGGTATTTTTCAAACATACTGTGATATGTACAGTTTAGTATTTCAGACTGTGGTAGCCCAGTGATACCAAGCACCTGTACTACTGGGCCACCCAGTCTCACTTTATACCTTTCTTCCCTGGGCGCAGGTCTCCATCAGCCTCGTAGTACTCCCTGATGCTCACCATTGCCTTTCCACGGAACTCGCTGACAGTGGCAAACCTCATCCGGGCAATCTGGAACATGATCAGTATGTATGGAAGGGTGAGTGAGTGAGCTAGCTAGCGAGCAAGGGAGCAGTGACCGAGTGACTAAGCATAGTTTGACGTTGCCTTCAGCAACATTCCTGCAAAGCATAAAGGGGAATTCAAAAAAGGGCTTCACACATTGTACCAAGGGGAGTGGAACGCCAAGGTGAGTGAGTGAGTTTAGTTTTATGTCGCACTCAAATAATAAATAATCGAGTCTGGACCAGACAACCCAGTGACCAACAGCATGAGCATTGATCCATGCAATTGGGAACCGATGACGTGTCAACGAAGTCAGCGAGCTTGACCACCTGATCAAGTTAGTCGCCTCTTACGTCAAACATGGGTTACTGAAGATCAATATTCTAACCCGGATCTTCACCAAGGGTACTTGGAAAATTCACTTAATCATGAATTGTATAAACTGTAATTAAATTAACTTAAATACTGGCTCTGTAAAGAAACAACTGTGAAACATTCTCCACAAACATACATACAAGCTATGTCATCAAACTACATTCAACTTTTCCCACACTATGAAAATCTATCTATAGCCTTCCAAACCAATCCATTTAGTCGCTGTTCCAACAAGCATAATTTATCATGGACCAGTTTAAAGCAGGAATCCCCACACCTGTCCATCACAATGTACCTGGAACATCTGTTCCCCGTTACTGTTGGTCTTGGTGGTCTTGGCCTCGTCACCACCAGCCTTCTTGTCCACCTTCTTCTCTGCCTTGTCTGGCTTCTTCTCTGCCTTGTCTGGCTTCTTCTCCGGCTTAGCCTCAACCTTCTTCTTCTTCTGCTTAGGTTCCTGAGAGACAGAACGGACAATAGTCATCAAATATTTGTTTGCCAACTAATCATATTTGCTAGAAATTGTTTGGGTAGCTTAAATGATCCACTCAAACTCTAAGAAGAAATCATCAAATACAATATCAAACTACCTAGAAAATGTGAAAGCTCAACATACGTAGCAATTTGCTGACAGTCTTCATCATGTTCATATATTCAAATTTCACCAGGTCTTTCAATGGCCTTTAGACGTTATACACACAAGGAAGAGAGTTTTAAGGATGTCAACTTCTTTATTATGAAGAACTCTGAAACGTGTTCATAATAAAGAAGTTGACATGCATGTGAGAAACAAGGATAACCATAGGTGTTGAAACCTGATACATCCAAGGAATGCAACTTAGGTCACAGGAAGACAATTAGTCATTAATAAGTAACAAGAAGACAAAGTCATCAATATCCCCTGCAATGGCAAAATTCTCTTCATGAATATGTCTACAAGTTATGATTATGTCAAATGTTTTGGCGTGTATATAGCTAAGTGGAAGGAGATTACTGAAAGGTTTCAAAGTTCTGCTCCAGAAAGGAGCACTACCACCAAATTCAGTTGAAGTCAAAATTGTTGCCATGGAAACGCAAAAAAAACCCCATTTTATTCAGAAATCCAAAACTACCAAAAGGCACCAGTAGACCACCAGATCTATCTATGTGCCATGTTTGGTGAAGAAATAGTGAACGGTTTTAGAGTTATGCTCCGGAAAAGACAAATGTGCACGGACGGATGGTGTCCATTTTAATACCCCCCGCAAAACGCATTGTTGGGGATAATCATTCTCACTGACAATTGAAAACAAAACAAAATTGAAAATATTACAAAAATAAGTGACACATGTTGAGACACACTCCCAACAAGACACATGTTGAGACACACTCCCAACAACAGACATGTTGAGACACACTCCCAACAAGACACATACCTAATTTAACAAGAAAACAATAGATAGTACAGCCATGAAGAGGTTTTTTGGTCATTGTTAATATAACAGCCATATTGAAACAAACTGGGATGTCATGATTTGTGAGAACAGGTACCAAAGTTGCAGCTTCACTGATCCAAAGGTTTTTGAAGGAAAATGTTTTCCAATACAAGAAAGACAAATTACAAATAGGCCCATGACTTTCAGTCAGCTGAGCAAAAAACCCAACAAATTATTACTTATTACTGAGATCTTGTCTTGTTAAAAAATATTCAAACTACAGTCCACTGCATCACTTACCTCAGACTCAGAACCAGAGTCTTCTGAAGAAGACACAAATTCCTTTGACTTAGGCATTTTCAGAAAATATCTGTAAGAAATTGTGTATAGTGAATATAATGAAATATCACAAAACTCTGGCAATTCTGCTACAACATTTTGAGAGATATCAGTTCATGGGAGAAATACATTTTACTAGTGGTGGTCCGATTAATTGAAATAATCGAAGATTGGTCGCAATGACAACATGACCAAGCAATCGATCATGTTTTCTCATAATCGAACACAAGCGATTTTGGAACACTTGTTTGCATTAACAATACTTATCACAAGGTTGGTTTTGTCTGTTACATTTTATAAGCACTACAAGCTTGTTCCAAGTCATGACTGAATTTATCTTAAAGACACCAGAAAATTTATGTTCCTAACATACTGGTCATCCTTTACAGATGTGAAATTTGCAAATGCATTTTGTGCAATTTGCAAAAATCTGAAAGAACTGCATGTTTTGTCTATATTTTTTGTGTGCATTAACAAACATAACCAGGAAATTTTGATAAATGATGCTAACCAATTATTTTTGATGATTGATCGGTTGTAATGAACCAATCATCAATTATGGGATTTTAACCAATTCCCAACACTACATTTTACTAAGTGCATCTTTTCTGATTCTAGTTAGCACTACTGGGGCAGTCAATCCATCACCATCCAATTAACACACACATAGTCCACATCACTGGCCAAACCCCAGGTCAATAAAATTACTTTTGGTTCAGTAAACTTTGTCTGTATATTAACTCTAGCATGACTGATAAAGATGTTCAGTGATTATTTGCGCTAGTAGAATACATAATAGACAATAGTGAATGCACCCTTATCACCTCTAAATATGTAATACAAAACCCATGGGTTTACTTCAGATATGTCCAAATACCTCTGGCAACAAGACTTCTAATCCTACCTTCCAACTAACCTTTCAGATTCATGTGCCAAGGATAGTGCTAAGTGTCAACCACGCTTTACACAAAGAACTGGGGCTCTTGCTTAAAAGATCTTGTGTGCCTCTTCAATCCTGAATCATAGTGTTATGGTATCCTGCTCTTATACTTTGAAGGCATTCATAAATTTATCCAATTATCCGTAGTTTATAATTAGCCCTTTAATCTCCTTCCTGATCCTACAGTCCTAAGGGTTAGGGTTTACTTTCCTATCAAAACATCCCTTCATGATCCTTAGGACTGGTCATGAGGTAGTGCATGGATTAGACATCTCTTTCAGTCCAGTGTGAGTGAGTTGGTTTGGTTTTGCACCGCTTTTAGCAATATTCCAGCAATATCACAGCACAGGCAGGGGCCACCAGAAATGGGCTTCACACATTGTACCCATGTGGGGAATCGAACCCGAGCCTTCGGCATGACAAGCAAACACTTTAACCATTAGGCTAACCCATCGCCCTAGTCCAATGTAATTTCAGGAAATAGGAATGATTTTCTGTAAGTTTTCAGCTTTGAAAATGGCAAACATATGCACCGAGGTAAATAATCCGATGCTGATGCACTAACGCTAATTTTGAGTGAAAGCATCCATTGTCCCCTGGTGGGATCTTGGGTTATCCGATACCACATTGGCCTAGCTTACTATCAAAGTGAGTCTGTCAGTTTGATCCTTCACACGGTGCTAACAGGAACCTGAGAAAATGCACTACTCCCTCAAGAGCTACACAACTACGCACATTTTCCGGTTTGAAAATGTCAACAATGAACAGGCTCCACCATTTAGACTGCTTTATTTTTTTTCCAACGCCTGGTGTTACGGAACCATAAAACTGTGACATTTTACTAAGTTAACATGGAACATACACATAACATGCAAGTCTAGTCTGAACTATCAGAAGCTATGTAGATATCAGCTCTTCATTGTCAACATTGGCCTGGTGCTGTACACAATATAGTCAGACTTGCAAAGACAAGCGATATCGGTAAAGCATGAATCAATACGGTATCGGACAAGTCGTATCATCTGCTCCATTGTCAATCAATTGTTCCGACTTACATGACACAGTTGACCAGGCGAATATTTCAACCTCGCTACGAAACCCTCAACAAGTCATTTACCCGCCATTCCAATGCGGAAACGGAAACGTAAGGTGCCCTAAATAGTATATCGTATTTTCCATATGACTAGTAGTATATCCATGGAATCTGATGTCCTGGCTTGGGAGGTCAACATTTCCAAATGTTTATACTATAGTTTTACAATACAAAGGTCTTATAAGACAAACATTAACACCCAACACCAAAGATATATCATACGCTTTTGTTTTAATTCTCCTTTTCAAGTGTCCTTCCGGAACTTGTACTTGACATCTGAGACTCAGCAGATGTTTCAGCTATTATAAGGGAGTCCTGTCCTGTCCGAACAAGACAAAATAATCGCACAGAGCGACGTTTCGTTTGAGATTCTTACACCGTCATCAAGCTTCTTATTTTCTCCTGTTTTAGCTTGATAGCGGTGTAAGAATCTACATCTAAACGTTGCTCTATGCAATAAACAAGAAGTTGTCTTCCATAAAGTTGCATGCTTCATTTTTTGACTAACCAACTTCTAGAATGCAAATCAAACAATTTTTCAACAATTATTATTTGTCGCAGCATTGAAGCATAATATATTCTTTTGATGCTAATAAAAAGTTAGGGAGTTCCAACGTTTTATTATTAAACAATAAACAAAACAAAACCATGTTGCCCTCTGGCCGACGACCTTGGCATATGAGGTACCAACACAACATTTTGACTGCAGACCAGTCTTCATATAGCCACAATGAGGTAAGCTGTAGATAGGTTGTGCTCACACAAAGTTGAGTGAGTTTAGTTTTACGCCGCCTTTAGCAATATCAAGGCGGGGGACACCAGAAATGGGCTTCACACATTGTACCCATGTGGGGAATCGAACCCGGGTCTCGGGCCATCTTTCAAAGTAAATGATATAGCTTCAGGTTTTTTTCTTGTGTTTATATTTGGACTATTCCATTATAATGTGTAGGTAACATGTAGTATCTAATCTGTTCATTGAACCGTAAATACTGTTGTTTCAAGGTGTCTGGGAACTGTCTGTCTGCGTGATGGGAGGACACCCACACGGTCACCCATCCAAGGACTCTCAACGCCCAACGTTGCTTAGCTTCAACTAGGATTCGTGTGACCTGAGCTCTATGCACAGGACCACACACCACACATACACGCAAGCATGTGCACACACGCACACAATTCACGGGACATCTCACGATTTTGATGTAAAGTGAGTATGGTTTATGCCCCTTTCATGATATTCAAGCAATATCGCACGACAGAGGACAATTGAGAAATGGGCTTCAATGTATTTGTATGAGAACTGAACACCGGCCTTCGGCGTGACGAGCGAACGCTTCAACCACTTTACTTTTGTGAATTTCATCAATTTTGTAACAAGTTCTTTTATCAATCTAGCCACGAATAAAGATACCATGGTGATACTTGCTTTATTCCAAGTATGGTCATGAATATCCTTTAGAATTCAGCACAAGACATACATAGATGCAATAAAAACGTATATATGTAGGAATGTGGAATTCAACTTTATTACCCGCGTGGTCAACGTATGGGTAGTTGCATACTAATCTCGTACGTCACACGAGTGTCGTATCGCGTTGACCTGCGTAACGACTTGACCTGAGATTCTAACGATTTGATTGGATAACCGATGACCTCTCAATTAGGTCACGTTATGACGGAACTACTTTTTCATTCATAACAAACACCACACTCCGGCACAGCGATGACCACACTCCGGCACTGATGACTTAGCATAACATCACTGCCACAGGCTAATTTGCATATCACGTGACCGGACTTTTCTCTTGTTTGTAATCAAACGCGTATATTCATAATAAGAAGAGACTGGACTCACGGAAGCTTTTCGGCGCTCTCTTCATAATGTTTTACATTGTTACATATATATTCTTCCACAACTGCGACAGTAAGGTATATGACAGTACATATTTAGATATCAAACTAGCTGCATCGTTTGCTCTCCATCAGCTTCGATGACAGCACGTGGAGCCGTACAACCTATGTAAACAAAGGATCGCTACGCAAATCGAAATAGTGTTACATGTTTTTGGATATTTTCTCAGTGAAACTAAACCATTCTATTAAAGATGTTTAGTTAGATGTGTAGACTCGTCAAAAATAAAAGAGAAAAAGAAATTTGTACATTATATTGAATTGACATTGCAAGATGTGACGAATCGTCACATTTTTCTGGCCTGTGGCAGAGGTACTATGCTGGCTGGCCGCATGGAACTCTGGGTAGGAGAGTGAACAAACACGTGAATTCATTCATTCTACAACTTAAATGCATTGTGGGAATGTAAACATTGCGAACGTTGCCGTATCGCTGTTTAATTGGTAGTCGAACTGAGACATTATATCTGTCGAAAAACATAAACGCAAAGTTTCCACCAGTGATGTTAGCCGAGTGAAGCAACTGCAAACCAAGAAACGGGGTGCTACGGAGTAGAGTAATGTAGGAGGCTGTACGAGGCGATGACAACTGACATGCATCGTGACGTCGGTTACCAAGGGGGCAGACGAGCAAGGCCTAATGACGTCATTACAGTGTGACGTCATGCAAAAAGAGTACTACAGAACAACATTCTTCCGCAACCTCTTTATGAAACCGGTTTCGGTTTGAAACCATAAAAATATTAAAAATACGCTATTTTGTCAATTTAACGCATGTAAGACGTGGGTAATAAATAAAATACCACACTCTGTCTCATAACATACGAATTATAGCTGAAGGGGTCGTTGTCGGCACGGGTACTACAGATATATACCCCAGGTACGTTTCTGTGTACAGATATGTACCCTGGCCATAATGAGAATACAGAAACGTACCCTAGGACGATTCCATTCCCATTGTGTCGTATTCTTGGTCGGAACTGTCATGCTGTTGCATTAGATACATTTTATTGCGTTATGTAAGTAATGAGAATACACAGTAACGGATATTTGGCGATGCATATGAATACCACTCGCAATCAGTTGAACGGGAACAAGTACATGCGGTTTCGGTTTTGGATTGCGGAATATGGACTCGCCCGCCTTTTAGGGTACCGGGTACGTTTCTGTATTTTGACTTTGTTTAGGGTACATATCTGTATACAGAAACGTACCTGGGGTACGTATCTGTAGTACCTGTGCCGACAACGACCCCTTTTCTGACCTCGGTCAGATACCATAGGAAGGACACTCGTTTCGTATAATTCGTATGTAACGAGACCTCGTGTAGTATTCTCTATATATCCTTTCTCGTGTCATTTTTCGGCATTCCTTTGGTCTTTATTATTTTTCAACTGACGTTCATGAAACCTAAATATATTTGTGATAACCTGTTAGGAAAGCATCATCATCAACGTATGCACATGCGCAGTAAGCACCTAAACATAAGTTCATTGCTCAACAAGGGAAAGAAGTCTTTGGTTCCACGTCTCTATCCATTTTTCTATTGTCTGCGGGACAAGAAAAGCCTTGGAAGATGACTCGTACGTATGACATACATATTCTGTATTCATACCACCAATATTCAATTTTGCTAAAATAAAATCATGTACAGTAAAATATAGAAATGAGGTCACGGGTGGAAACTGACAAGCTCTGAGAGACGGAGTGTCGTAAATTGTGATGATAATTTTTATAAGGCCTTTAGATATTCTGGCTTACCCATAAACAGGTGATAAACCTAAAGCCAGTAGTAAACCTTAATTGTTATTGTAATTTGACGTTTCTTTATTATGTTCTGCCGTTCGATTACAAGATGTCATTGGTGGAAAGTGCTGTAAACAAGATATTTTTAAATGCGGTAGCGGATAATATGAATCCAGTCATTAGAAGTTTGACTAATATTTTTCGTCGAATCTATTATCATGATTATAAGTTAGAAGTATTGGTTGGGTTCTATGTACAAAACAAATTCGAATAGTAAATTTTGTATCATAATCTGATGCTTGTACAATGTATAGGTAAAGGGGAAGCAGCAGAGCGGTTCTTACTACATAGTACATAATCAGAGAAGCGACAATGGATGTGAAACAGGCGTTCCTGGACAGGTTTATATCATTGTAAAGGCAATCGTACACAAATATGAAACCATCTTTAAAAATAAATCGACTTAATACATGTCCATATCAAAACCATATTCAACGATATATGCCAACATTCCTTAGTTTGTTGAGGCCTTTTAGTTTAGTAGGCTGAATGAAAACTTATTGGTTTGAGATTTTTTAATATATATATTTTTTAAATGTATTATTCACCCTTTCTTTTGAACAGCAATGATTAGGGTTGTGTACATGCAAATCATATTTCTAACATACCAAAGACGTATAGATTGTGATGACATGAAGTTAGTCAAGTCACAGTACCTGAATCTCAGATTCCAAATTTACTGTTCAGATCAGCTCCTATGACAAGCACTTTGAACCTGTTCTGACCTTGAATCCCCATCAATAGTGTAATCCAGGCTAGAAAGAGATCACCCCACACTTGTCAAAGTCACAGACAGATACTGGTGTCCATATATTTGCTGAATTTACTGTTTTTGAATCTTTCCTGTGTATATTTTGAAACTGTAAACAATTTAGTAATTCCAGCTTGTCCTGTTGGGCCATGTGTCATCTAAGGTGCTCTGTGTGGCATTCCACCCTTTCAGCATCCAATAAACTTTCAGCATACCAGAAACTTCTGAATGTGGGTTTGAATCCCAGTTTGACTCGCTTGTGTATCTGACACACTGTGATATACCTGAAATACTGTTAAAGTCAGTGTTGGCCCAACTTACTCACTATTCATCTACCGTTACTTAGTCTTCAAACATCAGGTTCAGTTTCTGCCACATCATACCAAAAGATGTAAGAGGTGGTACTTCACGTCTTCAGGTTTCCATGTCTATCGCTTCAAACAAGGACTGATCAACTCAGTGTTGGTACACCATGTTATAGTGGGGTATCCACAGTGAAGGTGTGGCTTTGAGCTTGCACTATAGACCTGGTATTTCTCCATATCTCAATCTCTCTCTGTCACCCACCCACTAGACCCGTGAAGATCTGGGTTAGTATTTGTCTTCAGTAGCCCATGATGAAGCGACTAAAGGGATCGGGATGGTCAGGCTCGCCAACTTGACTGAGATGTGTCATAGTATCCCAATTGCGTAGATCGATGCTCATGCTGTTGATCACTGGATTGTCTGGTCCAGTCTCGATTATTTACAGACTGCTGTCATATAGCTGGAATATTGATTAGTGCAGCGTAAAATTAAACTCACTCGCTCACTCATCCACCCACTCTCTTGAAGATATGCACGCACACACACACACACATAAACAAACACACAAAATAATCTTGAATGCTATGTTAAACCCACTTGACTAAATTAGAAGTTGTTTACTCAGGTGGAAACCAGCGGGATAAGGCCCGTGAGAAGAACATGAAAAAGCAGCAGCAGGTTGACAAGCAAAAAGCTGCCAAGAATAAGACAGGCAACAAAGGCATGTCCCTTGAGGAGCGCCGACACAGGTAAAATAAAAACCAATTCATATTTACAGCCACACATGCACTTGTTCTTAGTTTGAAGCAGCTTTTGAAGGCTGTAGGAAAAGAAAAGCCTGGGACCATGCTCACTGGTTCAGCACCACTGATGCTAGTTCAAACATGTTTTTTTTTCATTGAAATTTTAGGGCAATGTTAAGTAGATTAGTGTTACTCAAGTCACTTGGACATGCTTGTTTTCTTTCCAACTTGAGCTCTCACAATCTGTCTGAAAGTACACTCAAACATTGTTCCATCAAATTTTGATGTTACAGATTTGCATTTGTCTTGAAGTAAAAGTTGAGTCTTTGCATATTCTGTCCTCAGTGATCATTTTGTGGTTGTGTCAAACCTTGGATAACTCAAATTATTCATGTATTGTCTCCGTCAACAATTGTGTTTGACTGCATAATGTTAAATTGACTGATACTTATCATAAGTGGACCCATGCATCATACTAGCTATGTGTAGAATGTCTCAGTCTATCTCAACATTCTACATGTTGTCCATTCAATTTTTCTTCAGGGATGCAGAGATAATGCGACAGAAACAGTCAAAGAAAGGTGAAGGTGAAGGCGATGGCGATGGTGAAGGTGAAGGGGCCGTGGGGGGTCAGTGACCTGTTGACCCGTAAAATGCCCCTCTGAGAGTGGAGTTGGAGTAGGGAAATACCTGTTGTCTTACTTGACAAAGAACTTTGGTGGAAAGTCTTGTGAAATGTCCTTATCACTGTGAATACAATCATGTATCATAACATTCTGTTATCAGTTCTGTAATATATATAAAAAACACTGTTAACATTGTAGCTTCTGTATGGATTTTATATATTTTATGTGGCTATAGTATTTGAAATGGTTGCAGGTTTTATGAAGTCTCTTGAAAATTTGGTCCATTCTTTGTGGGATTAACAAGACTGGAATTTTTCATAACCATGACCAGGCAGACTTTTTTATACAAAAGTGAATAGTCAACAGCACAAATATGTAGGAGATGACATTTTCTATAATTCTGAGGTTCCTTTGTATACCCATATCATCTACATGCAGATGGCCTCGCTGAGAAATGTCGAATAAACCATGTTCAGATGTCTGTATTTTGGTCTGCTTTGTTTCTCGGTTAGCATGGTTATTTTCAATTTGATAACCCATGAAGCTTAGAATCGGTCTTCAGAACCCATGCTTGTCGTAAGAGGAGTAGGGATTGGGTTTTCGGGCTCGCTGACTCATGTTATCATATCACAATTGCAAAGATCGATGCTCATGATGTTGGTCACTGGATTGTCGGGTCCAGACTCGATTATTTACGGACCACTGCTATGTAGCTGGACTACTGCTGAGTATGGCGTTACAGAACAAACAAACAAATATTTCAATTTTGTAAGAGAACTTGGTCCTGTGGTTATAGGTGCAAATATTACTTAGAGTTGCATCCCTTAGCCATCTGTTGATCATTGGTTTTGTCCATGATTTATTACCATCATACATTCTATCTGAGTGTAGGTTCCCACTAGCCCATGCTTGTCAGAGAGCGGTGTTTGAGGATGGGATTATTAGAATTAACCTGGCTCACAGTGTAATTAATGACAGTGGTCTTGGTTGTTGCTTGTACATTTGTACAATCAACTTGGGTTGATTTGTGGCTGCAAGATTGTAGATATTCAAGTGAACCAGTGCTCTCATACATACATGGGCAATGGCAGAACTTTGTGGTTAAAGCCTTTGATAGTTAGGCCAACAACCTGGGTTGGTTTGATTCCCGAAATCAGTAAAATGTGTGAAGCTATTTTTTGTGTACACATGCATGCATGCACGCTCACACACACACACACCCATCCCTACCCCAACATAAAATATCCAACATTTGTGCTATTGCTAGCAGGCTCTTCCAGACAAAGCAAGTTTGCAATGGAAGGCATATTTTAGTGAGTAGTAAATACAAAGTTTATCCAGAGTCTGTATGCAATAGGGATCACTATTTGTAATTTACCATGTATTTATTGGCTTTAGTATGTGAAGAGAGAAAACTGATTTGTCCAATTGCTGACTAGAATTTTTTTAAGAATTTTATTTCAATGTTAATCAAGGGGCATAATGGTGCATGCGAACATGTCTTGTTGAAAATAGTTGTAGGCTTTCAGTCCGAGATTTGTCCAGGTGATCAGCCTTCTGTGGTTTGCTACCACCCCATCTCTGCTTGTGACTTCAATGTGCCAAGCTAATTGGGGAAAATGACATGTGTTATTTCGATGTAAATGTGAGGAAAATGCCTTTCATTTGTTGCATCTGTTGCTCTGTTTTGAAAATCAATATGTTATCAATGGAACAAGAGAGGTAACACCTGCATGGACTACATAGTGCTATCACACAGAAGAAGGCTCTCAATGATGTTGACAATCGATAGATTATCCCAAAGTGACTGACTGAAATCTTGAGAGGATTGAGTGCAGAAATGGTCCTCTGAAGCCTCAAAAAATGTACTTTTGTACTTTTATACAATCAAGTGGAAACTTTTGTGTATTTGTACCCAGCTTGTTGTTTGTAGACCACCACGAGCATGTAGTTCTAATACTACCCACACATGTATCTGCTCATAATGTCATCCTATGGGTGATGAGGGGCTTGGGTGGTCCAGTCACCTGAGCATGCAGTTCATCGATCAGAGTTGTGTCCCTTGGACACTCCAGGAACCTATGATTGTGGATTTGAGTCCTTTGTTCATGTCAACCCCACAAAAGTACTAGAAGATGTACTTTAATGAAATAGTATAATCCAAAGTATAACCTTTGCCAATTTACACTCATCAGAAGGGCACAGGAAGTAAGTGATTAGCAGACAGAAAGCGAATCAAAAACATTTTTTGTGTACAATATCTTGACACATCAATGAAGAACTCAGCACAAGTTCAAGACATTACGTGAACGTTTGCGGTCTGTTCAGACTCTTGACTTCAGTATCTAGTGTGACCACCACGAGCGGCAACAACTGCTGCACAGCGTCTATGCATGGAGTGCACCAATCGATTGATGAAGGCCATTGGTACCTGGAACCACACTCTGAGAAAGGGCTGGTGCAATAAATCGGCTGTGTTCGGCCTTGGTATGACATTATTCAGTGTCCTCTGAATTTCATCCCAAAGATGTTCAATTGGGTTGAAATCAGGACTAAGGGCTGGCCACTGCATAATGTTGACACCGTTGTACTGTAGGAAGTCCCGTGTAGCTCTGGCAGTATGGGCCCGGGCGTTATCATGCTGGAAAATGCTGTTCTGGTGACGTGCGAAATGTGGTATGACGTGGGGTCTGAGAGCTTGATCGATGTAGCGCACCGCTGTGATGCCGCCTCCTCTCCCTGGACCAGGGGTCTGGAACACCACAGGACCCACTCTCTGGTTCAGGCCTATTCCATGATGCTTGCACCTCCCCATAAGTCTCTTTCCATAAAGCATTGGTCTGAGTAACGCTGGCCACGTCGTCGCCATATTCGTGTTCTTCCATCTGCAGTTGATACGCAGTACCGACTCTTATCTGTGAACAGAACAGTTCTCCATTGCCTGTATCGCCAGTTTTGGTGTTGTAGGGAAACTGTAGACGTTCACGCCGATGACGAGGGATGAGGATAGGTCCACGGTAAGGTCTACGGCATTAGAGGTTCCCGCTGTCCCGTCGGCGTACTGTATCAGTACTGATTGGTCTTCCGTGTGTTCCCATTGTCTGGCGTGCTGTTTCGGATGCCTGCATGAAGGGATTCTGTACATGCTGTCGCACAACATGGCGGTCTTGGCGTCTTTAGGTCACCCTTGGTCTGCCAGTACGGGGGCGATCATTTGTGGTGTTGGTGGCCCGGAGACGTTGCTGCAGCCTGTAGATGGTCCTAACGTTGACCTGGAAGTGATTGGCAACGGCTTGTGCAGTGTGGCCAGCTTCAAGTCTTCCTAGCGCCTGGTTCCTCTGAGCTGTCGTGAGTCGCGGCATCCTGCTGACGTTGTAATGTGAATGTTTGAACCAGGTTTGGGGGTCCTTGGGCTGGTCCTTGTGAACAGCACGTGCAGCATGAAAAACATGGAGAACACCGTACCATCTCCGAGATCAGGTTGCGTTTTTTGGGACCATTTCCTGGGTTCAATCTAGAGTTTGGGAAAGAATGTCTTTGCTCAGGTAACGTTGGAGATGTTGTCAAAAATATACAATCAAGACATGTATCACAGCCAGTCAAATTGTTGAATGAGGTACATTTGACCACTTTCTGAGAGTGATGCAACACTACTTTGGTGTTAGGCTTTATGACTTTGGTAACACCCGTTAACACCAGTATTGTGACGCCATCAAGCAACTTGCGGCACTAAACAAACAGCTGAAATTCTTATGCATCTAAACGGTCTCAAAATGAATATATACACAATTCACAAAAATATACACAATAATTACATACACAAAACAATGATGGTTACACACATATAGATCAGGTTGTGTTTTTTTGGACCATTTCCTTGGTTCAATCCAGAGTTTGGGAAATAATGTCTTTGCTCAGGTAACGTTGGAGATGTCAAATATATACAATCAAACTTTAGACTGGAGGGACCATTTATCCCAAAAGAAATATCTGGCAATGGTAGTCGTTGTCGCTTTTACAACTGTCACAGTGGAGGCCCATCATACAGATGTAATTTCTCTCGTGCCTGTATATTCTGTCGTCCAATTCGCCGCGAATAGCTGCAAAACTGCTGAGGCGGCGGTAAGCAATATTCACTCACTGTCATTAAATGTCTGCATCGCACGACGGACTCGCACAGCGTTGAGAATAATTATGTATGGATCGGTTCATCGATTGCCTTACTTCAAAGATAAGAACCCCATTTAGACACACCTACACAATCCATAACATTCATGGACACTGGAATCCAACGCGAGAGTAATGCACACAACGTAGAACATGCCGTAGAACGCATGGTTATTATCCTTTCCAGCTGAACATGTTTGGAAGGCACCAGGTAACCCTATGGGTTCTTCTAAATGTCAAACTGTAAGAACGGTGGCTTTCAACTGACTCCAAACATTTACTATTAAAGTGAAATGATCATTGTCACCACTGTGGAACTAACGCCGAGGACATTGTTCCCTTTTCATATAGACATCTATTCATACAGACCTACTTCTACACACTACCTTAGTGGTATACTGGTTCATCCGAGGTGGGCCAAATAACGCTGCTTTGAACGGTATTCCTTTATGTGAAGGTGTGTCGGCGTCATTTGGGAGGCTATTGCCGGAGTTGACCACTTTGTTGAAAGCCACGAGCAGGTGCGTGGTGCTTATACACAATGAGAATGGCGGGAGGGTTATTTTATCGGCATTTTACAGTGAGTGAATTTAGTTTTACGCCGCACTCAGCAATATTCCAGCTATATGGCGGCCGTCTGTAAATAATCGAGTCTGGACCAGACAATCCAGGGATCAACAGCATGAATATCGATCTACGCAATTGTGATACGATGACATGTGTCAACCAAGTCAGCGAGCCTGACCACCCCATCCCGTTAGTCGCCTCTTACGACTAGCATGGGTTACTGAAGATCAATTCTAACCCGGACCTACACGTGTCCGGCATTTTAGAAGACGTTTAGCTTGATAACGATGTAGTTTGAGCGAGTTTAGTTTTATGCCGCTTTTAGCAATGTTCCAGCACTATCTCGCCGGGGACACCAGAAATGGGCGTCACACATTGTAGCCACGATAACGGTGTAAGTATCTACACTGAAACGTCGCTCTATGCCATAAAGAAGAAAGCTTCATTGGGGAGGTACACCAGCAATCATCGGGTCCTGCTACAATTACGGGAGGCAACTCAGCACAGCGATATATTTCATCTTGGAGTTCTGTGCAGCTGTGGTGGCACTTCTCTTAATAGTTTCTCGATATCTGCAGCTGGGCCTACAACCATCATCCTTGATGCATTGCTGTGATTATATTATAGGGACAATTATTAAGCCATGCGGACATAGTAATTTACGGATTTCACTGGCAGCTGTTAAAACTATTCAATACTGAGTTCAGTACATCTATTATGTTTTATGGAATTTGATATCCACCGCAATTCCAAGTTCATTTCTATCGCGTTCGTTTATAAACAACATGCTTTTAAGGTAATTAAAACTTGTCTAAGATTCTTATAACTGGACATATAAATCTTTTGTAAAATGTAGGTATGCAAAAAAGAATCAGTATACATGTAGATATTTACCTATTGATACCAAGTAAGACTTCTAATGACCTTTATTTTATAGTAACATTTAGTTGAGGTCTCATGTAATTTATAAATAAGCAAATAAATAAACTGAAACATTATATGCATATACTTTTGAAGCACACTCGCTAAAGTGTAACGAACTATACACAAAGAACTTAGTTAAGCACCCCCTGACATATCTCACGATTGAATGAGCCGCGATATTAACCCTTTGGAGGATATCTGGGACATGATTGGTCGTCGTGTGCAATTAGGCTGTCTTCCTGTACAGAACCTGGCCCGAGGAATGGCGTAGGCTGCCCCTTCAGAGGATCAGGAGGCAGACAGGGTGTATGAAGAAGAGTATGCTGGCTGCCATACAGTCACATGGAGGTTGCACTCGGTATTGACCTTGAATCGTGTAAGACACGCAAAATTACATTTTGAATGTTCACATTCACCAATAAATTCAACATTAAACATTCCAGAGCCATTTTGTCGTTTTTTATGAGTCAAAGGGTAATACGGGTCAGAAAAACTCATGATTTTCCATCGTGGTCACCACAAGAAGTTTTATGTACGTGTTGAAAACCTATCATTGCAAAAGTACAGGGGTGCATAATTAAGTTCTCTGTGTATATCTGAGTAATGCACCACTTTGATGGACCATACCATAGCTCAGTCACAAAATCATGAATATTGATGTGCAGTTTTTCTCTATGTTAATTTTCCAAGCCACTGAACGCGAAGACAAGGTCGAAAAGAAGCTGAAAATCCATACAAATTCAGTTTGTTTATTTGTTTGTTGTTCAACGTCGCACTCCACAATAATCCAGCTAAATGACGGCGGTTTGTAAATATTCGAGTCGGGACAAGACAATCCAGTGATTGATATCATGAGCATCGATCTACTCTAATGGAATACGATGACATGTGTCAACCAAGTTAGTGAGCCTGACCACCCGATCCAGTTAGTCCCATCTTGAAGCCATGGTATACATATTTCTCGGACTTAACACACACTATTTTATTGAGCATGTTTAGCTTAGCTCGTTAGCGATATCAACTGAAAGCAGAGTGCCTTGTACCATTCGGCCTATATTATAAGCGCATATTTAGGAATAACTATCCGACAGTGATTATGCCAGGTGTTTGAGGAAAGGCGAGACTAGCCTGCCCCATCGTTGGCAACCGTAAGAAATACATACAAGGTCGAGTAAATAGTTCGTCAACATATAGGGAACAGCATTAGACTTAATGTGGACGATGGATGCCTGATATTAACCACACGCTACCATATGTAATATAGCATGAGTAATATATAGGCGACGGTTAAATATGAGCTGCATATTTGCCCCTTACACGTTTTCACGTGCATTACGCATGTAGCGGTGAATCAGTATTCTCACAGTGAAGCGTTAGTCGCTGCTCATGCCATCAGTCACTAGCTTGCCTGGTTATGAGCGAGTGAGTTTAGTTTTATGCCGCTCTTAGCAATATTCCAGCAATGTTACGGCAGAGGACACCCGAAATGGGCTTCACACATTGAACCCGTGTGGGGAATCGAACCCCTGGTTTATCTGATTATAATAGGCGTTGAATATTTACTCATAACATATTTCCAATCGCAAGCAGCATTTAAAATCGGCTTTAGCAGACATGAGGTTTAGCTGGTATTCAAAAACAATTGTACATTTAAAATTATTAATAATACAATATTATTAAATGTATACATGGTTTCACGAAAATATCCTAGTAGAGATTTCTCTTGATTTCTCATGCGATGTGTTGTACGCAGAACGTATTTGGTGTAGAATTCAGGTCACATGCAGCGAACACGATTCCCACTCTCACAATAGATACCATATCAGTGTCCCCGTCTCTGATGACAGGAAAGAGTAGAGGACAGTGCCCGAGTAACTCTACAATGAACCGTAATATGGACGAGGCCTATTATTTCTAAAGAACGGGGAGTTACAATAACACATCCCTAATTTTACACTTTGAAAATATTTGCAAAATTTCATGGCGTCCTGAATTGGTATTTTGCCAATTGTTTGTTGGGTCGTTATAGGACGTAGGTAACACGATGAAGTCTCATTATAAATATTGTTTTGAGATATGTTATGAAATATTCAACTAAAACAAGTAGGGGATATTCCGTCGTATGATTGTATATAGATTTAGAAAATGATAATTATATTCACAACGTGTTATGAATTTCATGACACGCCATTTCGTGCAAACGTGAACATGGTCGTGTCGTCTGTCATGAAGCAAATATTTCCAAGAAAGCCCACGCAAGTCTAGAAAATGTGGCAAGTCTAGATTTCCACAGCTTCAGGAAGAAAGTCTGAGGGCTCCTTTTCATTATATTTTATTTGTTTTTACAATGAGCTTTTTTCTGTAAAATATGTTCATTTCAGAGACTAGTTGTTAGTCTAATGGCCGGGGTAAAATTCGAAATGTTAAACGTGTCAGTTTGCTGTTGTACATTTCATTGAAGGAAAACTCCGAAATTTCTTCTGATTTGTTCTAAACTCAAATAAACGTTTGTCTGACACGCGGAGCCTGTCACGTAAGGAAGGCTATGTGAAATTGTCTTGTTGGAAGTTGAAACAAGTGAGTGAGTGAATTGGGTTTTACGCCGCTTTTAGCATTATTCCAGCAATATCACGGCGGGGACACCGGAAATGGACTTCACACATTGTACTCATGTGGGGAATCGAACCCGTGTCTTCGGCGTAAACGCTTTAACCACTAGGCTACCCCCATGGTTGATGTGACAAATCTAGAAACACATTCAGGGCAAACCAGGATTCGAACCCCTCTTGTTAGGTATCAGCGTGCCCAAATCCTCTGCACAGCAAATTGCGGCACGGCAGAAGTTGGCATTAACCCGAGGCTGACATGCTTCTTTTATCGTGTAAATTCAACCTCCGTGTCGTGGGACTAGTTTACCGGTATCTGTTGGCTGAAACTGGGCGTCCCCGGTCACTGGCTAACAGCTGGATGTACAGGATGATGTAAAAACTGTCTTAATGAACTGGACATGAATTCATTACAGTTGGCACAAAGTGACAAAACTACCTCTTGCAAAAGACGTTTGTCCTCATAAAACACGTTTCTTCCAACAAACTTCCCGGAGATTCCAATTTCCTTTTGACTCTAGGGCAAATGTGGAAGAAGCAGTGGCTTGTTTTATATATTTTTTCAAATTTTATTTGATTTGATTTAAATTTGGATGGCTGGAGCCGAATCTGACTTGCTAAACATTTAACTCTAAATATATCCTCGGATATACGCATATACGCTCACGGTTATATACATCTAATATAAGAGGGTTTGGGTTTTTTCGGTTTTGCAAAGGGAGATAACTTCAAATACCTTTCAGAGTAGGCTCCCTTTTAACAATTATCGTTAGGAAAGCAACGTTTTCTATTTTTAACATGTGCATTGTTGGAGTGCAGTTATTATCCAGAATATTTTGAATTTACACTAGATGTATCTTTAAAAATAAACTTGTTTACCGGCGTTGCTAAGGCAACGGTTGCCAAGTTCAAGCCCGGCCATTACGAATCTTCGTTTTCCGAAGCGTAACATTGCTATCACTCCTATGCTCTTTTGAAAGTGTTTTCGACATATTCGAGTTTTCTTGCTTTCTTCTTACTACAGTAAGGTAATTAAACCTATTTCCTTTAAAAATATAGTGTTTGGTTGCCCAGATATTTATCAAATTTGCTTTTGTACGGAATTTAAACATGAGTTCACGCTTGACAACAGAAAAAATAGCCAAATATCCTTCTAGACCATACATGACTCTACATTGTAACGACTAATGACATTGTACACTTACAGAATACCGGATACATACCAACCATATTGTTAATGTCACGTCTATCTAACTCTAACGCTATCCCTAACCCTAAACCTGCAGACCACTCTGGTTTGTGACCGCAAACTGTTAAGGGTTGCACACTGTTGTTTGAATCTATACGAGAAGAAGTATGAATGTAGGACCAAATCAGAATGGGCTCCATAGAATCAAGGACGAATATTCACGTATATGCGTCTTTGACAGAATGTAGTTTGATTGTCTCTATCATTATCTGTCGTAGTACAATAATATATATTATATTCTTGTACAACTGGTTCGTTAGTGTCAAACAACACGGGTCTGACTATGTTTGGGCATCTTTGTAGGTCTGGTTGCCAGGGATTTACTTTGTTGTACAAAACTAGACATACACGTGATCCTCAATCACTAATTTCAAGGGTCCTAACGAGTACTATGATGGTCATGTAAAGTACTTAAGTAGTACAGTACTCTATAAGATACAATAACTATGATTATAGCAGAGACGTTTCATTCCTTGTTCCGAATTTGGTGCAGCAAACATTACTGTGCGCCTTTTTCTTTTTCTGCATCCATTTGTGCCTACTGGCTGCACATTTCTGCATCACGTGAACCTATGCATTTTCTCTTGTTTGGGAAACGGTCAGTCACAACGTAATGAAAGGCTTGAATCAGTTTCTAATTTCTACTACTTCAGTTCAGTTCAAACATGATCATACTTGCATGTATTTTATCTTACAGATTTCTCTTGTGAGACTTCAGTTTGGAGTTGAATACTCTAGTATAATCTTGAGTTGGTGCAAGAGAGATAAACTGTGAAGGTAACTGACATGAACTGATTTACGCACTTGTAGTAGACATTGTGCCACTCAAAAACTCACACATGCAGACAATAACATTCACATGAAGAAACTAAAATGAAAAAAGAAAAACAAATCATTTCTATTGGTCTTGTCTATCTTGTTCATTGTACTTGTATGTTTTAAGACATGTCTCCTCGTTTTTCTTGTAAATTGTACTTAGTGTTTCAAAATACATCCCTAATACACTTCAGAACAACAAGATGTTGTGTCCCAACGAGAGTTGGGTGAGCCTGGATGACTTTCAGCCTCGCTGTACCTGTCTCTACCCCCACACAACTTGGACCGATGCAGCCATCCCCTCCAACACCACTAGGTCCACAAACCCCACTAGCCCCACCCCTAGATCATCCATGTTTGGTAGTAACAGCCCAGACAGCCCCATCAGCAAGTATCTAGAAAACCAGGACTCCTTCCTTTATCCAGAATGTCCCAGATTTAATTCATTTTTTGACACCAATGATGTAACATCAACATTTCTATCAATAAATCCAGATATCTGGTCTGCAAGCCCCAGTGATGAGTCTCTCCCAGCCAGCACCAGCTCCAGCCTGACCAGCCTGAGCTCCACCAGTCTTACTGACCCCTTCCCCAGCTCTTCTACCCTTTTCCAGAATTCTGAGGAATTCTTCGATGATCTTCTTCCCTCCCCATCTTCCAGCACAACCTGCTTCAACTATGGCCTCACACCTAACAGATATCTGGAATCAGATATGTCAGGTTTGCCAGATGACATGAACCTCTCAGCTACAGTTTACAAAGACATCTGGTTCTGTAACACCTATGACCTTTTTCAGGATGGACCACTACTGACCTCAAGCTCCATGTCTCTTCCTGTCAGCCCAGTGAGCAGCTTCACCAACCTGAGTGAGTGCAATGTGTCCTGCAGTCTGACCAGCCTGTGCCACCAAGGAGTGTCACTTCCAGTCCCCAGCAGGAGACCTGGACCCCTGAACAAGATGGTGGATAGGAAGAGAAAGAGAGATGAGGATGATGAGGTGGAGGTGAAGGTTTGTAAGAGGACCAGGCTATAAGTATGGTAGTCAGATTTACACTGTTAATGTATGTCTGAAATATCTGTTTTACTAACATTAATTGATTACTTTACAGTTTTCTATATATTGCTCTGAATGGATGTGTTTTAATTTCAACCTTTATTCTACTTTGATACTGCAATATTTAGTCACTCAACATCTTATTGTCCTTGTAAGATCATTTAAATCCTCAAAATAGGTGGATGCTTCCTCTCAAATAAGCTTTGTGAATGTAAGTCACTAGTAACTTGAAACCCTTTTCTTATCACTGTCCTGAAATTGTGCTCTATTCAGTAATTACTTCTCTTCTTACTAGCTCAAATTCCTGCCCCTACCAGCGGTAACATTTCTAGGCCCCATTCCTGTACTACAAGTCTAGTTAGTGGTAAACACATGATATAAACTGAAAGCCCTAATCAAACTGTACAAAATGATAAAAATAATACAATAGGTGAATCCTTATAATTGTAAATCTGGTAAGGTAAATATGGCATGAACTCCATGGTATAGTTCACTATACAGGTTACAGAATACATTAAAGTACAGTTATAAATCAGTGTTATAAATGAAGTACATGTTATGTTGTCAAAAAGTGATACTGATAGACAGAAACATTAATAGCACTTTTTTAATAGTACAATCTGTGCATGAAAGAGACCAATGTTCCATTGGACCCCAATATGTAGACAAATATTCACGGCTAGCACAGGTGGTGTAGGTGTGGCTAGATGGGGAGGTGGAGGCCACTGTTTGGATAGGCTTGTAGTTTGTATACAGTGTACAAGATGTAATGTTCAAGTCATGGTTAGTATAGGTGGTGTAGGTGTGGCTAGATGGGGAGGTGGAGGCCACAGTTTAGATAGGCTTGTAGTTTGTATACAGTGTAGATCAGTTCATACATGATCATACTTGCATGTATTCTATTTTACAGATTTCTCTTGTGAGACTTGAGTTTGGAGTTGAATACTCTAGTATAATCTTGAGTTGGAGTAAGAGAGATACACTGTGAAGGTAACTGACATGAACTGATTTACACACTTGTAGTAGACATTGTGATTTGTCCCTCTCATAACCTCACACATGCAAAAATAACGTTCACATGAAGAAACACAAAAGTGAAAAAATTAATTCAGTTTTAACTTGTTAATTGTACAGATGTTTTAAGACATGTCTCTTCGATTTTCTTGTAAATTGTATGTTTTCAAAGACATGTCTCACTAACGTTTTTCTTGTAAATTGTACTTGAGTTCTTCGCTTTCTTGTAAACTAAAATTTATATCCCCCTAACACACTTCAGAGCCACAAGATGTTGTGTCCCAACGAGAGTTGGGTGAGCCTGGATGACTTTCAGCCTCGCTGTACCTGTCTCTACCCCCACACAACTTGGACCGATGCAGCCATCCCCTCCAACACCACTAGGTCCATCAGCCCCACCCCTAGATCACCCATGTTTGGTAGTAACAGACCAGACAGCCCCATCAGCAAGTATCTAGAAAACCAGGACTCCTTCCTTTATCCAGAATGTCCCAGATTTAATTCATTTTTTGACACCAATGATGTAACATCAACGTTTTTATCAGTCAATCCAGATATCTGGTCTGCAAGCCCCAGTGATGAGTCTCTCCCAGCCAGTGCCAGCTCCAGCCTGACCAGCCTGAGCTCCACCAGTCTTACTGACCCCTTCCCCAGCTCTTCTACCCTTTTCCAGAATTCTGAGGAATTCTTCGATGATCTTCTTCCCTCCCCATCTTCCAGCACAACCTGCTTCAACTATGGCCTCCCACCTAGCAGATATCTGGAATCAGATATGTCAGGTTTGCCAGATGACATGAATCTCTCAGCTACAGTTTACAAAGACATCTGGTTATATAACACCTATGACCTTTTTCAGGATGGACCACTACTGTCCTCAAGCTCCATGTCTCTTCCTATCAGCCCAGTGAGCAGCTTCACCAACCTGAGTGAGTGCAATGTGTCCTGCAGTCTGACCAGCCTGTGCCACCAAGGAGTGTCACTTCCAGTCCCCAGCAGGAGACCTGGACCCCTGAACAAGATGGTGGATAGGAAGAGAAAGAGAGATGAGGATGGAGGTGAAGGTTTGTAAGAGGGCCAGGCTATAAGTATGGTAGTCAGATTTACACTGTTAATGTATGTCTGAAATATCTGTTTTACTAACATTAATTGATTACTTTTCAGTTTTCTATATTTTGCTCTGAATGGATGTGTTTTTAATTTCAACCTTTATTCTACTTTCATGCTGCAATATTTAGTCACACAACATCTTATTGTCCTTGTAAGATCATTTAAAACCCATTTCAAAATAGGTGGATGCTTCCTCTCAAATAAGCTTTGTGAATGTAAGTCACTACTAGCTTAAAACCCTTTTCTTATCACTGTCCTGAAATTGTGCTCTATTCAGTAATTACTTCTCTTCTTACTAGCTCTAATACCTGCCCCTACCAGCGGTAACATTTCTAGGTCCCCATTCCTGTACTTTCAATATGGTTAGTGGTCAGGTGTCACTAGATGGGGAGGTGGATGCCAGTGTTTGGATAGGCTTGTAGTTTGTATACAGTGTACAAGATGTAATGTTAAAGTCATGGTTAGTACAGGTGGTGTAGGTGTGGCTAGATGGGGAGGTGGAGGCCACAGTTTGGATAGGCTTGTAGTTTGTATACAGTGTACAAGATGTAATGTTAAAGTCATGGTTAGTACAGGTGGTGTAGGTGTGGCTAGATGGGGAGGTGGAGGCCACTGTTTGGATAGGCTTGTAGTTTGTATACAGTGTACAAGATGTAATGTTAAAAGTCATGGTTAGTACAGGTGGTGTAGGTGTGGCTAGATGGGGAGGTGGAGGCCACTGTTTGGATAGGCTTGTAGTTTGTATACAGTGTACAAGATGTAATGTTAAAGTCATGGTTAGTACAGGTGGTGTAGGTGTGGCTAGATGGGGAGGTGGAGGCCACTGTTTGGATAGGCTTGTAGTTTGTATACAGTGTACAAGATGTAATGTTAAAGTCATGGTTAGTACAGGTGGTGTAGGTGTGGCTAGATGGGAGGTGGAGGCCACTGTTTGGATAGGCTTGTAGTTTGTATACAGTGTACAAGATGTAATGTTAAAGTCATGGTTAGTACAGGTGGTGTAGGTGTAGGTGTGGCTAGATGGGGAGGTGGAGGCCACTGTTTGGATAGGCTTGTAGTTTGTATACAGTGTACAAGATGTAATGTTAAAGTCATGGTTAGTACAGGTGGTGTAGGTGTGGCTAGATGGGGAGGTGGAGGCCACAGTTTAGATAGGCTTGTAGTTTGTATACAGTGTACAAGATGTAATGTTAAAGTCATGGTTAGTACAGGTGGTGTAGGTGTGGCTAGATGGGGAGGTGGAGGCCACAGTTTAGATAGGCTTGTAGTTTGTATACAGTGTACAAGATGTAATGTTAAAGTCATGGTTAGTACAGGTGGTGTAGGTGTGGCTAGATGGGGAGGTGGAGGCCACAGTTTGGATAGGCTTGTAGTTTGTATACAGTGTACAAGATGTAATGTTAAAGTCATGGTTAGTACAGGTGGTGTAGGTGTGGCTAGATGGGGAGGTGGAGGCCACTGTTTGGATAGGCTTGTAGTTTGTATACAGTGTACAAGATGTAATGTTAAAGTCATGGTTAGTACAGGTGGTGTAGGTGTGGCTAGATGGGGAGGTGGAGGCCACAGTTTGGATAGGCTTGTAGTTTGTATACAGTGTACAAGATGTAATGTTAAAAGTCATGGTTAGTACAGGTGGTGTAGGTGTGGCTAGATGGGGAGGTGGAGGCCACAGTTTAGATAGGCTTGTAGTTTGTATACAGTGTACAAGATGTAATGTTAAAGTCATGGTTAGTACAGGTGGTGTAGGTGTGGCTAGATGGGGGAGGTGGAGGCCACAGTTTAGATAGGCTTGTAGTTTGTATACAGTGTACAAGATGTAATGTTAAAGTCATGGTTAGTACAGGTGGTGTAGGTGTGGCTAGATGGGGAGGTGGAGGCCACAGTTTAGATAGGCTTGTAGTTTGTATACAGTGTACAAGATGTAATGTTAAAGTCATGGTTAGTACAGGTGGTGTAGGTGTGGCTAGATGGGGAGGTGGAGGCCACAGTTTAGATAGGCTTGTAGTTTGTATACAGTGTACAAGATGTAATGTTAAAGTCATGGTTAGTACAGGTGGTGTAGGTGTGGCTAGATGGGGAGGTGGAGGCCACAGTTTAGATAGGCTTGTAGTTTGTATACAGTGTACAAGATGTAATGTTAAAGTCATGGTTAGTACAGGTGGTGTAGGTGTGGCTAGATGGGGAGGTGGAGGCCACAGTTTAGATAGGCTTGTAGTTTGTATACAGTGTACAAGATGTAATGTTAAAGTCATGGTTAGTACAGGTGGTGTAGGTGTGGCTAGATGGGGAGGTGGAGGCCACTGTTTGGATAGGCTTGTAGTTTGTATACAGTGTACAAGATGTAATGTTAAAGTCATGGTTAGTACAGGTGGTGTAGGTGTGGCTAGATGGGGAGGTGGAGGCCACAGTTTGGATAGGCTTGTAGTTTGTATACAGTGTACAAGATGTAATGTTAAAGTCATGGTTAGTACAGGTGGTGTAGGTGTGGCTAGATGGGGAGGTGGAGGCCACTGTTTGGATAGGCTTGTAGTTTGTATACAGTGTACAAGATGTAATGTTAAAGTCATGGTTAGTACAGGTGGTGTAGGTGTGGCTAGATGGGGAGGTGGAGGCCACAGTTTAGATAGGCTTGTAGTTTGTATACAGTGTACAAGATGTAATGTTAAAGTCATGGTTAGTACAGGTGGTGTAGGTGTGGCTAGATGGGGAGGTGGAGGCCACTGTTTAGATAGGCTTGTAGTTTGTATACAGTGTACAAGATGTAATGTTAAAGTCATGGTTAGTACAGGTGGTGTAGGTGTGGCTAGATGGGGAGGTGGAGGCCACAGTTTAGATAGGCTTGTAGTTTGTATACAGTGTACAAGATGTAATGTTAAAGTCATGGTTAGTACAGGTGGTGTAGGTGTGGCTAGATGGGGAGGTGGAGGCCACAGTTTAGATAGGCTTGTAGTTTGTATACAGTGTACAAGATGTAATGTTAAAGTCATGGTTAGTACAGGTGGTGTAGGTGTGGCTAGATGGGGAGGTGGAGGCCACAGTTTAGATAGGCTTGTAGTTTGTATACAGTGTACAAGATGTAATGTTAAAAGTCATGGTTAGTACAGGTGGTGTAGGTGGTGTGGCTAGATGGGGAGGTGGAGGCCACAGTTTAGATAGGCTTGTAGTTTGTATACAGTGTACAAGATGTAATGTTAAAGTCATGGTTAGTACAGGTGGTGTAGGTGTGGCTAGATGGGGAGGTGGAGGCCACAGTTTAGATAGGCTTGTAGTTTGTATACAGTGTACAAGATGTAATGTTAAAGTCATGGTTAGTACAGGTGGTGTAGGTGTGGCTAGATGGGGAGGTGGAGGCCACAGTTTAGATAGGCTTGTAGTTTGTATACAGTGTACAAGATGTAATGTTAAAGTCATGGTTAGTACAGGTGGTGTAGGTGTGGCTAGATGGGGAGGTGGAGGCCACTGTTTGGATAGGCTTGTAGTTTGTATACAGTGTACAAGATGTAATGTTAAAGTCATGGTTAGTACAGGTGGTGTAGGTGTGGCTAGATGGGGAGGTGGAGGCCACTGTTTGGATAGGCTTGTAGTTTGTATAC